TGTGTGTGTGTGTCTGTGTGTGTATGTGTGTGTGTGTCTGTGTGTGTGTGTGTGTGTGTGTGTGTTTGTGTGTGTGTGAAAGACATTTGTATATATGCATGTGTGAATATTTGACTGGTTGTGGGACCAAGACCACAAAACCACGATCTGTCAGCTCAATCACCACAATTAATAAAACCCAGGCCATCAAAGAATTGAATGTAAAGTATTATAGGCTGGTGTGTAACATGCTAAAGTTGGATTCTCATTTGATGAAATTATGTTTTGTGGTTTCCAATTTACATGAGAAAGTAATACTTATATCACATGTGCAAGATCTTTAGTAGCCTTCAGCACCAGTGCATCCTTTTTCCAAACATTGCAACTTGCAGAAACTTTTTCTTGGTGATTAAGAGGTTTTCCTTTCAATTTCATATGCAGACAGAATTAGCAAACCTAATGCTAACAATTGGCCAGGTTTCCTCCCTGGAAAAAAGGGCTTTGGCTGTCCAAAGCACTTGTACCCCAAATTTTTCTGGCCTAACAAGACGCCTCTGAACACATTTCAGAGAATGAGGTTTAAGGGCCATTTAAGGATTTCCCCACAATGGATCTTCCATTAAAACATGTGTTTGCATCTGTGCAGCTCAAGGACAAACTGAGCTCTGGAAATATCTGCAACCATTATCTACTCATGTCCATAAATTGTTCTGCAAGACTTATCGAGACATTTAAACCTTTATCTTTATCAGGCATCAGTGTTTTAAATATAAAAAGGTGGTCAAAACTGTTGCACATCTCAAATAAATAACCTGACTAAGTTTTTTTTTCTACGTAGTCAACTTTATAATAGATGAGCTAATTTTGTTCAAACATTTGTAATTAATTCATCTTAAACAAAGTAACTATCATTGCCAAACACCTATTTAGTATGTCTTAGTGTGGTAGTGAATTCTGAACAGAAGCCAATTCAGGACATGATTGAACACATTCAGCATTACCTCACAAATCAGTCGGTAGCTTGAGTTATAGATGAAGTCTGCAAAGCCGGTACACTTACTAAAGGTAATCATTTCATGTGTCTTTCTCCAGCTCAAGTAAACAGCAGGCAGCCTGTGATCTACAACATCCTACTGAATCCAGAGAGTCACAGTGCCATAACACGTCATGCTGGGCAAGACTTGCACATCTCTGTGACAGGTCTACAGCCGTTCAGCTCTTATTACATAAGAGTGCAGGCCTGTCAGAGAGGTAAGGGTTTTCCCATTTTAAATATCATCTATCTGTTATGACAACAATATAACAAATGTTCAAATTTGAACAAGAACATTTTTCCACAGAAAGATATTGCTTGTTGCTCTTGAAAACAAATATTTGCAGGTAATTTCAATAAAAAAAAAGACAAAGACTGTGCGTAATGGTATAGCTTGGTATCACAGGGACTTTGATTTCTTAAGGTTAAAAAGAGAGTTTTCAAAGTTCTTCTGTGAAATCCTTTCTGTTTTTTTCCTTGAAGGGGGATGTGGAGTGGGAGACGGTGTTTATGTTAAGACTCTAGAAACTACCCCAGAAGATCTGTTGGCCCCTACAGCAAAGGCAGCTGGGGCTCAAGTCATAGAGATCAACTGGTCACCCCCGTTAAAGCCAAATGGACTCATCACCTCCTACCATATATACAGGTAACATTCCCACTAAAATAGTTGTGTAGCTAACATATATATGTATACATATAACTTTAGAATTCTATTAAATGAACTTATTTAAGTGTATATCTTGATTGTTTCTCTGTACCCAAGTCTTCAAAAGTTGGACTGAATTTTGTGTTTCATATATGTAAGTGGCTTGCGCATTCTACCAGTGAAATGGGGCTTTAGTAACACATAGGTCACATATCCATACGACATGCACACGTTATGTATTGTAACCTTTCCATACATAAATGCAGAGGTATAAGTTTTGATGTTGTTTTATCAAGCTAAAGTCTTCTTGCAAATTTGTGCACTGTGTGTGCATCCTTGTGTGTCTATTAATGCTTGCTGAAGGTCGTGGTCTGCTTGTTGACCAACGAGTGTGCGATCTGTATGCAGGGTCAGACTGGACTAAGCCCTTTAAGTCCTCAGGAAACACACATTAGCATAGCAGTATACACACACACAGACACGCATACACTCACTAACATATGTGGAATGATCAGACCCAGGCGGACAGGGACCTGTGTAAAGCAGGAACATTTCTCCCTCTCACACACACACCTGGAATCCTGCGTAATCAAAGACAAATGGGCTTACCAAGACATCAGGATGCTTGCATCAGCCAGGGACACAATGTTTAAGACGTGATGTTCCATTTTAAATTCAGTTTGCAAACAGTGTACTTTGTTCTTTCTTTGGCTCTAAATTGTAATAGTGCTGAAAATTCCTACCAAAAGTATACATATATGTATACAAATTGTTCATTTTCAGCACAAAGATACAATGATAAACAATCACATTTTATCACAATTTTTGCACATTTTTATAAGCAGCACAAATCACATTTTGTGCTAAAAGGGACGTGAACAAGACCCAGGACTCCATTAGGATCTTTTGACAGGAGTTCAAAACATTTTAACTGTGATCAGCTGGTTAAGGTTCAGGCCTTCATGGCTTAAGTCAACAATCGGCGATGGTTTTAACAGCTAAATGCTGCTTCTAATGTTTTTATTTATTTACTTTAACAGGTTCAAACTTGCAGATGGCTGAATTTACATATGAAAAAAAGGATTCTTCATTTTTTATTATTCCAAAAAAAACTAAATCATCTCATTGTCGTTGCAAATCTCTCCAATTTTCTGAAATCTTGTTTACTATAAGGTTTAGGTATAAGGTTTTTGTGATCATTCCTACAATTTAGGACTGTTACATTTTTTAGCCTGGACGTTGAGAGGCACCTTCTAAATGGTTACACTGCACATCAAAGAGTGATTCCCATGCTCATGACAAAGTGTTTCCATTTCAGGAGACCTACCAGAAATAATCCCAGATGAAAAGCTAATCTCATCATTTACTTCACCATAGGCGTCCATTAGGAACAGAGGAGGAGCTGCTGATCTACATCTGGTCCAGTGGCCCACTTGAGTTTGTTGATGCGAGTCCCTCCCTACGGCCTTACAGCTACTTCCAGTATAGGGTTCGAGCACACAACTCTAAAGGCTCAGTTCTGAGTCAGTGGACATTATCCCAGACGTTACAGACCATACCGCAAGATATGGGCCCTCCTGTTGCCACGCCCTCTGGTAAGTACATGATTTCCCTCAAAAACTGGTATTAGACATGATTTTGAATGGTGTTCCAATAATGTATGCAGTGCATTTTGACAGGTGCTTACTCAATTCATCTGAAATGGAGTGAACCAGGACAGCCAAATGGTCTCATTTCCCATTATAGACTGGTTTACAAGAAACACCAACAGGATCCAACAATCAACTCAACCACTGTTACAGCTCTCACCGTCGAGGTAAGTGTACACTTATGGAAAGATGTGAACGTGAATTAGTTTTTTAAAACAGTCCTAAGTAGTTTGTGCACCAACTACTTGATTTAAAAAAACCTTCCTATTAAAACCAAAGATTAAACAAGGAGTAGAACATTGACATTGATTACATTTGTGACACAGCTTGTGTGTAAATTTGTGTGTGCATGCTTCCGTGTATGTGTGTCATTGTCATCTGCGGTGCATGTGAAGAAATTTAGTCTCTACCTGTGGTGGTGGTGCCATCTGTTTGCCAGTGAGTGGTCTGAAGACACACACACAACCCGTGGCCTGCTATTCTCCGGGGCCCTTCCCTCTTTTCATGCTTGATGCTCTATCACAGCAAATGACTACAGTATGAGGAAGTTCCCTCAAAACTTAACACACACATAAGCACATGCACGTCCTGTTACATAAATACAGCTCTTGCATGTACTTATATTTCTGTTAACACCTGTCATCCAGTCTCAATATGAGTTGGCAGCTCAGTTCACCCAAAGCCACAATGAGGCGTTTGCCAACAGTTGCTGGCATCACCTGCACAATGGGCGTCTGTATTCATAACCGAAATTTTGGTTTTTGATTTTGTGCGTGACTGTTGGTTTAAACAAAAAAAAAAGTATGACAGAAAAAAACAGAGTAACAGAAGTTAAAGAAAATTATGCAGTGACATAAGAATGTTACAAGTTGACGGAATAAAAGGGATAAGTAAAAGACAGGGGTATGCGGTGGAAGAACAAAACACAAAATTAAAACAGTAAAAAAAGAAATCAAGGCGAGCCGGTCAAGACAGGGTGATAGATTGGGGACAGAGAGAGAAAGAGGAATGAGAGGTATGGATCTATATTCTGTCCATACGTGTGGCCTCTTCTGCCTCTGTGACCTTTGGCTTGTCACTCATAATTAATACAAGATGTAAATGGAGACCTTTCACCTTCTCATTGATATGGAGCACTCTGTGTTTGTGTGTGTTATTGTGTGCGTGTGTGAGAGAGAGACTCATTGACATGGCATAGACTTATTTTGGCGGCAGTCATTTGTCACTGAGTTGCCGTCACCACATGCATTACGTTGTCTAAGAACATGCAAAGAAAGTTAAACTTAGAAAAAAGTTCTCAACAAGGACTGGTTTTGATGATCTGATCTTATTTTTAGCCCTTTTTCCTCATGATGGTCGTTTATAGATGTGGACTGGTAAATGTTACAGAGATGTTTTCAATCTTTTATACAAATAGATCAGATTGTATCTGATGAAGGACCGTATAAGGTCTATGATCCAGAGTCAGTAGAACGTCCTTGATTAGTTACTGAATATGAATTTGGGAAATGTCCTGAATTTCACTCTTAAACTTCTTGAATAGCTTTTTTATTTAACTAAATCCACCTGATTCTGTCTCTCACATGTCTTCATCCTAAGTGTTCCTGTTTTTTTTGCTTACAGAATTTCTCCACTTTGCAGATGTATTGTTAGTGTGTGTCCATTTGGTGTGTGTGTATTTGTGAGTGTGTATTGATCTCAGGCTGGGCTACGAACCCTGCTCTGTGCCAGCTTGGCTGATTAATGGGGTCGTCATGGCAATCGGACGGAATGAGGGTATGAAACGCAGGCGGCCTGCCTCACTAGACCCCTACATGCCGCACTGCACTCGCACACACAGACGCGCAATCTCTCTTACGCACTTACAAATTCTCTCCATTGCCTTTTACCTTTTTGACAGACGTGTTAGTCACGCCGCAAGAATGGCACCGCTGTCAGTTTGCTGCAGTGTCCTTCTACTCTACTTCTTGTTTTTGTATTTCGGGGTTGAAGTTGCACTTTTGTGCAGTGTTCGCGGATCGGTTGTTCTTGTGACTTTTACTCCTCGTCACAGTCAGATTCCTCTTTCCTGTTGCTCTCTTAACTCAGCCCCTCTTGTCCATCTTTGTTCATCTCTCTCTTGTTTCGCTACCCTCTTTTTACCTCTACTACACTTTAAAACCAATACAATCCTTCTTGAAACTATCTCAAGTCCTCTTTCCTTTCTCGCTTACCTTATTTTCTTCTCTCCTCACTCCTCTTTTCCATCTTTCACAGATCTCTTTCTTTTTTCTTTTCCTACCACCTCCCTCTGTCTCCCCCTTTACTCTGCTGTCCTTTCCTCCCTCCCTTGGCTCCTCCAGATGTTACACTGTGGCCCTTGGGATCACTGGTGAAGAGAGAGCGTGGGCATGAGTGTGTGTGATTGTGTGTGCGTGTAACTCCATGTGCATACATATGTCAGAATATGGTTTGCTGTGCATGTGTGCCTGGATAGCATTTTTGTTTATGTGTGTGTATATGCAACAGTGTGTGTGTGTGTGTGTGTGTGCTGTATTAATACATCCCATTGATCAGAGCAGGACCCCTGACAGTCATCATCCCTGAGAACCATCTGGCCGACGCCTGACGCTCCCTCACCCAAACAGAAGCTGACACCCTATTAATCTGCTACTGCCATGCAAACATACGTGCGTGTGTCTCTGTGTGTGAGTCACTGAATCAGTAACAGTATGTTGAAGACACTGTGTGAAAGGTTTTGTGTACCATGAAATATTTTCGCCATGTCTATGATTCTGCGTACATGTTTGTGCGTCCACGTTAGCTTGTGTATGTGCTTCAGAAGCAAGCGGCACACACACCAGAGTGTATACACGCACCACTTTTCCACCCGCCAACAACAGCCGGCGCTGAAGGGAGCTGAAGGGTGCTTGGAAATTAAGGTTATTACACAAATTGAGCCATATGGTCTAAATATTTCAGAGCTGAAATTTACTAGGCAATAAAAATGGCCCCTACCTCGGTAATGGTGTAAATTACAGCTTAACCACCAGCGCTAATGATGTCCTTCTGTACGCCCCGTAACCAACCGTACATGAAGGACACATTGTTTAAAAAATACCCCATGAAAAGAAAAGGAGAGGGAGAGAGTGCAAACAAGAAGAAGGGATGGGGATAGAGGGGGAATGATGAAACAAACAGGTGAGGAGGAAGTGAAAGGAGTGAAGGAGGAGGAGAGTAGAAAAACTGATGAAAGAACCAGAGAGTGATTGATAAAGGTGATAGAGAAACAGAGAGAGTGAAAGGGAAAGCAGCATGTTTACAATCTGTTAGTTTACCATTAAGAGCCCGTCAGAGAGCGTGGGACAGCGTGGGACAGCCGGCGGACTGTGTCTCAAAGCCAATATGAGGATGTGTGTCGGTGTGTGTGTTGCACAAATGAATGAGTGTATTTAAGCCAGCACATTTGAATGGTTTACAGGGAAATCTTTGTTACTGAAATACACAGGTTGTTTGTCTGGAAATATTTTGAATAATGACTATAGCACTATGGAACACATTAAGTGTATGTAAGTGTGTTTGGCAAAACTTATGACAGCACAGTTTTTTTTAAATATTATATAAGGAGAGCTGTTTTTCCATTGAAGGACTTTGAGGAGTTCAGAGGGCAAATTAAGTAAGAGATATGTAAGAAGATCATAAAGATCAAATGTTAAAAGTGAAAATAATGCTCTCTTTTTTTCTTTTATTGTACTGAATTTCTTCAGTACGGTATAAAAAAGTTAAGAAAGGTATGTGTCTTTCTCTATGTTGCATCACCTTCAAAGTGTCTCCGAACACTGAAAATACTTGGAATCTGAAGAGGCCAATCACTGGACTATAGAAGGCATAAGATTATCCCATTCTAGTTTTACATGAGATTTTGTTCAACAATTCAGTACCTTTGCAACTGTGCTTCTAGTCATGATGCACACCACGTAGTAGTGCCTATGTGGTACATTGTTTTTTTGTTTTGTTTTTTGGTGAAAGTATAGCAGAAGTAAAGGTATGTAAATCTACTTGATTAAGTTGGTGAAAAATCAATTTCGTGACAATTATCTGGTTAAGATAAGAAAAATATCTCTTGCATTTTGCTCACTTATCCTCTTAACATCACATAACCAAAGAGGAGCAGGAGGGGAAGATGGTGCATGACTGTAGTGGGAAGATGAGGCTTTGCCCTTCCTTTTAGATAAACAAATGAGGAAAGAAAGAGAGAGTGACAAGAGAAAAGAAGAAGAGAGAGGCACAAGGAGGTTAAAAAAGGAGGAGGAGACAGGTGAAGAGAGGAACAAGGAATTGGAGGAGAAGATTAAAAAGGTTCAGATTCAGAGTTTGTTTGGCTGTCAGCCTATCAGCCCCCTTATTTAAAGATCTCCACCTCTGATTGGAGAGCTCTCACATTCTGCATAAACAGTCAAATAATCAGGCAGGAAAACTCTTTCTCCTTCCTGCAATCCTTTCACTGCTCCTTGCTCTCTCGTTCAGCACGATTCCCCCTTACCTCTGTCTCAACATTCCTGTCTGGGGTTTCTCAGCCTTTGTGTCAAATTACAGTTTTTATGTGACACTCAACTACCATCTTTGCCCCCTTGCTTTTCCTCTTCTTTCATCTGCCTCTTCCAAGTGAACTTACCTTCTGCCTCCCTCCCTTCCTCCCTCTCGCTCCTCTCCGCTCTCTGTTGGTCTCACACGCTCTTTCTCACAGCAATTACAGGTTGTGTGTTATCATGCCTCTGTCTGTGAAGTGGCCACATCATCCAGTGAAGTGCTCTCCACTTGTTTTAATGGGTGTTTAATGCTGCATCAATGAAACGATGGGCCTCACTTCAGAGAGAGGCTGAGGGTTTGAGTATAAAAGACTGATAGAAAAGTGTTGTTCTATATCTGATAACTGAGAGGCTGTTCAGCTCTGGTTGGAAGAGTGCAGGGGCGTCTCTGTTCAACTGACTCCTGGTGTATGTTTTGATAGTAGGTAGTGTTTAGATTGGAGGATCTCCCATCCCATCCCTCACATGCTGTACCAGAGCCTGGAGATGACAGCAGCGTCTTTGTATATTTCAATCGGCGCAGTACTCAAAATGTGTAAAGCACATTTAAAAATTCCTTTAGGTTTCTGGTTGTCCTCTTTGCTGTTGATCTGCCCTTACACATTTCTACAAAACTGCCAGTGAAATACTTTTCCTTTATTAATTGTCCAAATAATATTTCTTTTAATTAATTAGGCATGAACCACGACTGGTACGTCATGATTTATTTTCTTTGTCCTGTTTGTTGGATGAACAGTATGTGGATGAACAGATTTGTTTTGTTTTTGTTTTTTTTAAAGGATGGAATTGGAGTTTAAGCATACCATCCCTCACTCACCATTATTTGTCCACTCCTCTTTGGCCACATCATGCACATTAATACAAACACGTACACAAAAGATATATACAAACCTAATATGCTGCTCCAGGGGTCTAGAGCCGCCAAAGCCAATCATAGATGTCGGTGTGAAGTAGGCATGCCCGCTCCAAACCCCTACAGTCCTTCTCTACATCTGTGCTGGCCACAGACAAAACACATGCCTAATGGCACTATGTGTCTGCGGGTGTGTCTCCATGGGCTTGTGTGTGTATGTGCCCCACGAATGTGTCTATGTGTCAGGGTTTGTCTAACGTACCCTGACTAGCAGGGACACCCATGCAGGGCATTTGCAAACAGACACAGGGCAACTGTTCCAGCAGCATTGAATTAGGCATGCCCATATAGATATGAACTCAGACACACACACACACAAATACACACACACACTTGGCTTGAGAGCTTGGCATTGGGTGAGAGAGATCAGCGTGTGGTGCGCTGGCTCACCTCAGAAACCTCTGAAAACAATTACTGCTCTCACAGGGCTGGTCGGAGCGCAGCTCGGACTAATAGACTGGACGATTGACTCGAACGGGACTGAATTGAATTTAATTGAGATGAACAGAGTCATATCTGATTATTGCATATTTCATCACACACTGAAAAAACTAATACTCACAAGAAAAGATGAAGCAGGCCTGGTGCTTTATTATCTCTCCAGGATTTAATACGACAGAGCAGAGAGGCCAGAGAAGTTCTGTTGGGGAAACATCCCAAAGGCAGACAAGTTGGACTCCATTCACCTGTCATTAAGCATGCTTCTTTAATGTATGTTCTGAGGCATTCGTGATGCTTTTACCTGCTTGCGTGTGTGCTTGTGTAAATGAGAGACAAAGAGGAGTGTGTGCGCTTTTGTTCATGTGCACACATTTGCATGTGTGTAGCCATATGCTAATGCTGTTCTGTCTCTGTCTCTCTGCAGGGCCCAGTTCTGGGGCCTTTGTGAGATAATCAGCATAATTCTTTTGACAAATACACATGGTTATTCTTAATTAGTATCACACACTGTCCCCCTGGCCGCACCATGCCTCTCTACCTGAATATCCCATACTTGCACAGATGTGCAGTTCCACACGTGCACATACATTTTTAGGGACATACGAGTACAAAACTTGATGGTTGTAGAGGTGGGCTTGTTAGCCAATATGCAGATGCACAGTTTTGAAAACACAACAGTTACACATGCAGAAGTGCATACAGTCCACAAGATCCCTGCAATCTTTTAGGTCACACCCAGAAGCAAAGAAAATTCTTTAAAAGCTCTTTTGCAATAAATGTAGTGCAATGAGGTATGAGGTCCATGAGCCCTTTAATGTAGAAATTATCCTGTCTCTTCTTCTCTGTCCACATCATTGTCCTCATTCTCTGTCTTGTTTACACTCACCATCATCTCCTTCTTTCTTATCTTACATTTTGCTTGACTCTGTTCTTTTGTATTTGGTATGATTAACCAGCTACTTTGATCATCAACGCACACACAGGCTCAGGCCCATGTACACTGAAGTTAAGTTGACAAGAACCCATTCCTTTCATATCTTACACAGAAGCTCATCTTGTGATCTCCATAGCTTGGCCCCCCCTTTTTTTCTTCCCCTGAAAAAGGCTCGGCCAAATTTCCCTATTTAACAGGACCCTTTTTAGCTCTAAACTAGCAGCTGCTTTTATGCTCTCAGTGTTTATTACTAAATGAGAGTATTCTAGGTAAAACATGAATTGGCGAACTTCAAAAACAGACAAAAACTCTTTATTCTCGCTTATTCTCTCTGCATTTAAATATACATACATTAATGTGCACACTGAACTCTGTGAAGTGATAGTGACAGAAGCTTTCAAAGTATATAACTGTTTTCTATACTCCCAATGGTCTACCTTTAACAGAGATTAATCAGGATTTACCATTTAAAAACCTGTATTTTCATGATGTAATTCCACAGCAGTTTTGTGAGCATGTTTTGCTGACATCTTTCTTGATCTGAGTGTGTTTCTGTCTGTGCACAAAGTGTGCTCACTGAGAAAGTGATGGTGTAAAAGAGAAATAGTTATTGCTGGAGCTTTTAATTTAATGTAATAGTTGTGTGTAAGACCGTTTGATTACTTCATGGCTACGTGCTTGTGTGTGTGAAATTCATAGTACTTGATTGTTGTGTGTGTGTGAGCGTGTGTGTGTGAGATGTAGAGAGCAGGCTGTTAATTTGGTGTGTTTCCGTGATAAAGTGTTTGAATGTATTGCCATCTAGAGGCATGTAGCAGAGTCTCCATGCTCCTATAAAATCTGCCAGCGCCAGATGCTGCTATTGACAATGTGCATATGTTAACCGCTTTATAGGCCACATGCCTCACATATTTCACTGGCTTTTAAGGTGGAGAGATCTCTCATTCCCGCTCACTTAATCTGTCTCTCCCTTTTGCCACATCCGTCTTTTTTTTCTCCCCAGCCTTTGCCTTGTCCTCTCCTCCTTTACTTATTTCAATCTCTCTCGTTCTCTCCTCTCTTTGCTCTCTTTTTTTATATTCTTCATCAGTTATTAGCTACCTTTTCGGACTCATCTCCCTTTTTCTTATCATTCTTTTATAACTTTTTGTCCTATATTGCTTTACTCACTGAGACTTGATTTGATTCCTCTTTTTTTTCTTTGCCTTTTTTGCTCGCTCTCCACCCCTCTGTCTTTCTGTCTTGCGACGTCCTTTCCCCACCCTCTGTAACTGTGTCTCTGCCTCCCTCTGTCTACTGTGCAGTGCTGTGATTTTCAGGAGGATTTCTGGCTTGTATCTAGGTGTCTAGGGGCTTATTAATCCTGTTTTACTCTGGATGAAAAATATGTTGGCTCCCAGACTTGAATGCAGAGAGTACATGCATTCTGGTTTTTGTTCAGACAGTTCATCCTCGGTGTCACGCTACGGTGATTTGACAGGGATTTCATTTGATTCAATTTGAATGAGGGCCTTTTTGATCCTCTTGCCATTGCATTGAAGTGGGTTACCAGTTAATCTCTTTACATATGCTTGGTTATGTGAAAGCATACAGTTCTGAACATATTTTTTACCAAGGACTCATCTCATGAACATGATATAGTGTCCTGTACAGTCTCTCAAAGACCCTGTTATGACCACTTCAGAGTTCACATTTAAGATTAAACACACAATCACATAGGCTAAAATGCTACGTCCTGGAGCCAAGTGCTCCCAGACAAGTATGTCATCGCATGCCAGGGCCTTTTGAAACAACAGTGTGTCTCTCTTATCAATTAGTAAATTGTGTTTCCAGTAGAAATTGTGTTTTCCAGTAGAAAACACGCACACACACACTGTCCCGGCCCTTGCCAGGGTTTTGGCTGGGTCCCACAGCCCAGAGCTACTGGCACACACCCTGTGCTTGTGTGTTTGTGTATATGATATGAAAGGGCGCATGTGTGACATAAACACTCAATCTGGAAGCTTTGAATTCGCCCATAAGGGACAGCCGTTTGCTTGCTAGTCTCTCAGTTGCTGCCACTTCTCTGGTGTCTGCTTACTTCACCACAGCAGAGCCTGGATGTTGAAATGTCGATATCACAAATCCCATGTTATGTCATCTTAGCTTGCCATTGTTCCCTTTCCCCCTTTTTAATGAGTAATGCACTGGTTTTATTCATACAGGATTTGTTTGCATAACTAATTTTCTCTCCTCCTGCTTTGGCATTTGACCCAATTCACAATTACCCTTTTACTATTCCCTTTTAACTCTTGCCCAATCTCCCTTTTGTCTGAGACCCCACTTTTTCTTCCAAATCCCATCCCTCCTGTGTATTTGCCACTGTCATCCCTTCTCTTTCACATACCTTTTCCACTTTACATCAGTCATTTGCACCATATTATATGTTGGTGTCTCTGTCTCGCAGGATTCGGTCTTCGAGGCAACAGTCTACGGATTTGAACCATACAGTCAGTACAGTCTCTGTGTGGAAACTGTGAATGGAGCAGGTAGGTTGACTACCTCGTTTAAAATATGTTGGATCAATCACAAAAGCAGTTTCCAATGTGAATTCAACTTGATTTAATTGTTTAACCATCCCTTAGGAAGTGTTTTTAGCCCATGGGTGGACATTAGGACCCTTGAGGCCTTCCCCTCTGGCTTGGTGAACTTCACAGTTGAACATAGAGAGCAGGGCAGGGCATTGCTCCTCAGCTGGGATGAACCACGTGCTCCGAATGGAGTCATCACGGTACATGCAATGCACATGATAACAGTGCTGTACAAAATGTTTTAAAACCAATAATCATGGAAAGATGGTAAAGCAGTTGATTTTGTGCAATAAACTATGTACTATGTGCATAGTACATAAATTATGTATTCACATCTCTTATTTTCATCTTTATTCTTTCCTTATATCCCTCTTCTCACTTCCAGATGTATAACTTGTACAGTGAGGGGAACCTGGAGTTCAGCGGGCTTTCACGTAGTTTCCTTTTCCGTCGTCTGGAGCCATGGACAATGTATTCTCTGATTCTTGAAGCTTGTACCTCTGCAGGATGCACACGCACCCCTCCTCAGCATATCACCACAGCAGCAGCACCGCCTGCTTCTCAGCTCCCTCCCAGGCCTCTCTCCATTGGCCCAGACCAAGTGTCCCTTACCTGGGGACCTCCCTCACAGCCCAATGGGCCAATTGGAGAGTATTCCTTACTTGGGAGAAGTATTGAAGAAAAAGGAATGGCACGAAGTAATGAGGAAGATGCAGGCAAGGGGAAAGTACGTGAAACTAAAGACACTCTTAAGCATTAGGTTTTGTTATTCCTGTGATGTTAGCAACATGATCCGTACATAAGTAACACAATCTTTATGATTAATTAATCATTCACACTTTCTCAACAGGTGCTCTTTAGAGAAATGCCCCCACAAGAAGCAGAAACCTTATCCTTCACAGTAACTGGTTTGCGTCCCTGGACACAATATGAGTTCAGTGTCTGCACTCACAATCCAGCAGGACACACATGCAGCCCCTGGGTAACAATAACAACCAGGCAAGCCCCACCCCATGGTCTCACTGCTCCAACAGTGCGTCATCTCTATGGCCGACCCACTGAGGCTGAAGTGTCCTGGACTCCTCCTTTGGAGCCAAATGGGGTTCTTAAGTCCTACAGGATTCAAAGGAACAACGTCAGTTTCTCATTCAGCTTTGACCCAACTGTCCTAGCATACACAGACGTAGACCTGCAGCCATTTTCAACTTATAGGTATTCTTTTCATTGGCACTATTTTGTATCTTCTGATCAACTAATCTGATTTTAATCAAATAAATCTGTTTCCAACACGTAATTCTATTCTTTATTCTTCTGGTAGCTACTCGGTGATTGCCTGCACGTCTGAGGGATGTACCACCAGCCCTCAGACAAACATAACAACATTGGAGGCCCCCCCAGCGTCAGTGGAGGCTCCCATTGTGAATGTCATCACATCCAACAGCATAAACATTTCTTGGGTTAAACCGCTGATGCAGAATGGAGAAGTGAAAGAATATGTGCTAAAACTGAACAACATGGAGGCTTATCGCGGGACAGACCACAGTGCAGTGTTGTCGGGTCTTAAGCCACATACACCATATCATCTGCTTTTGTTGGCTTGTACCAGTGGCGGTTGCTCGACCAGTGTCCCAGTGTCCACTGTTACTGAGGAGGCTCCTCCCACTGATCTGGCCTCCCCGATTCTTAAGGTGTTTTTCTTCATCTTTGTATTGGACGTACAGTACATCTGTCATCTAAAGCTGTAGTGAATAGAAAATACTCTTTGCCAAACCTGTAACGTGTGATCCACGCTGATAATGACACCTTACAGGGTGTCATCAATCCACCCAATGTTTAGTCCCTGAATACGAAAGGCTTTTGGAAGGCAGGTTTGATTTCACCTTTAACTTTCCATTCAAAGGTCACTGGTCCAGAGTCAGTGGAGATAAGCTGGACACCACCAGAACACCCCAATGGCATAATCACTGGGTATGAACTTCGGAGAGATGGTGAAGTTGTCTATATTGGCACAGAGACTCGTTATCACGACTTCACACTTCAGGCAAGTGTGGAATATAACTACGTTGTCAGGGCCAACAACAGCAGAGGGGCCGTGAGCAGCGAGGTAGCCATAGCAAAGACCCACCCATCAGCTCCTTCTGGGGTGGGTCCCCCAGCACTAACAGCCCTGGCAGCAAGTCAGGTAGGCCAGTCATCTATGTGGTATTTATTAACAAGAGGTGCACAACATTGTTTAAGAGTTGTTACTGAACTGTTTTACACGCCATGTTCTTTATCTTACAGGTGAGAGTAGAGTGGCAGACTCCAGTCCGTCCGAATGGAGACATAGTGAGTTACACTGTGTATCTGAGGGATCCAGTCCATCTTAGCATCAATAGCACTGTGTTCACTCCAGACGATAGTGCCTTCTCTGAGAGATTCACAACTCTACATGGGCTGGCCCCTTACCACAGGTTAGTCAAAAGTCATCCTCACCTCAGAAACAAATCATTACCGGAAGATTCATATGTTAAGATTAGTCAAAAAGTGAACACACACCATAGAATGCTTACTTTTAACGCAAACATTTGAACGATGCATTGTAAGCTTTTTTCTAAGGAAATATCTGACAGTTACAAAGTTGTTTTATCATGATGTAGCAGTAGCATCCGTCTCATTCAGGGCCAAAGGGAGCCTCACTTTCTGTTGTTGTTGTTTAAAGTCACTGCATTATTTGTGTCGCCTAGATTTGTTTTTAGAGTTTTATGGAGACAAAACTAAGCTATGGCTCAAACACTCTCTTATTTTTATGATCTGCCTTGGTAATCTGACAGTATGTTGATGTTTATAGAAAAATCAACTGTTAAAACATTCCATATTTATGTTTTCACATACATTTCTAATGTTACTATCAAACAGTTTCTGTAACCACATTTAATAAGCTTCCCTCATAGTTCACTCAGCAAGCAGTTGTGTAATTAAGTCAAATCTGAGGTGGAATAGATAGGAAAAGTAGTACCAAAGAAGGGTCCAGAGTGCCATCTCTTGGTTGAAGAAAAATACAGATCACCCAAACACAGGAATGCCTGCACCTCAGGTTACTTCATACAAGCACCATTTTTTGTTGTGTGTTTTGTCCTGTGCGTACATGTCAGTGTGCCTGATTGTGTGGCGGTGCATGCATGAGAATGTGCGTGTGGTGATAAGATTCAGATAATAAAAGCTCATCAACCTTATCATGTGAAGATCACTCGCCCTTTCTCTGATGACCTTCTGTTCATTCAACTTCTGTCCATCCCTTTTTTTCTCCTTTGTCCTTCTCTCCTTTCTTTCCCTGTTTAATTCCTCGTAACGTAAGCTCTCTGTAGGCTTTGTTATTGCAGTAGAAATCAGCTGATGTTTGACTGAGATACTGAATACTTGCCTTTTTTCTTCCCAGCAGATTACAGCTCCACTTACTGGGCTGTTATTTGATCTGTCTGGGTTCAAATGAGCAAAGTTGATAAACCTTTTGAAGAAGGGGTGAAAAAGTACAAAACAATAAGCACCACTTTTATACATGCAGCATTTGGTTTAAATAGTATAACTGAAGACACACACAATTCTCTTGCGCATACAACACATCTTTTTTCTGTGTTTCTGTCTGTGTTTGCAGGTATGAGGTGAGAATTGAGGCTTGCACAGCACTGGGATGCTCTTCCAGTGACTGGTCCTCCATACTCACGCTGGAGGCTCCCCCTGCTGGACAGATGGCCCCTCTGTTAGACCTCCAACTTGACATGCACACCAGCCTGCAAACAAGCTTTCTGCTCACCTGGTCTCCTCCGGTTCAGCCGAATGGTAAAATTCAGCATTACGAGGTGCATCGCTGGCTGAACATCACTGATGACACCCTCAGAAGTGATGCAGCAAAAGTTGTCTACAGAAATGTCTCTCCTTCATACAAAGATAGCGGACTCCACCCCTACACAGTATACCACTATCAGGTATAAAGCTGTTTTTGTTTAGATATGTGTTTTTGTGTGATTGAAATATGTCATTAAAAGAGCTTTTTGCTTTCTTATACCTGTTTAAAATCATTAAGTTTGAATAAAAATTCTAAGATTTTAGAAAAAATGTTAACCAGTTCCTTGAAAATCACTTAAAGATCAAATTTCCTTCAACAGTTTTAAATGTCATATATAATTCATAAAATAGGTTACCATTTGATTGTTTTCACGAAAGCTAGGTATATTTGTGGATGATGTAACAGTGATCAAATTCCATTTATGTTTACCTATAAAGCCAGATGTAACCAGATATGAGACATATTTAAAGCCAGATGACACAGAAGAGGTCACTGCTTTTTGTCCTTTACATTCAAAGGCCTTAAAGATAGATGTTTGTCTGAGAGGCTAAATTGCAGACTACACCTTGTATTAATGACACATCAGAAAATGGTGACTTCTTTTACAATAAAATGTGTTACAAACATCTGGACACACACACTGATCCTGCTAAAACAATTATATTTCTACACATCAGTAATTACAGACACACCAATTCATAAACACACAGGTAATCAGAAAGTTGTCAAAAGGAGCAGTCCTTATTTGTGTTGTTGTGCTTGTGCGCTGGTTCGCTAATTGACAGCTTAGCCCTTTTGAAACAACAATAACATTAGCGTTCCTGTCTGTCAGACGTATGAGCTGTGGCCAGAGAACCGATGTAATTGATTGAGTTTGCTTGATTGTGGTGCCGTCTTTATTTACGAGGGTCCTAATTTATGACATGAGGAGGGAGGGAGGGAGGAGCTATGGGAGATGACGAGCGGGCAACAGAGCCATTAATCACTGGGCCCTCTGAGCACCCCACTTCCTGATTACCAGCCAACCAATCGAATTAACTGTTAGCCTCCTTGGTAACAGAGCTTGTATTGGAAAGACCTTTTAATGGTGACCGCTACATGTCCCCAGAGGATTTGTCAGTGGGGGATAGGGGAATGTGGACAAGCCGGTGCTGTATGGGTTAGACACGAACACATTTAAACAGTATAGTGTGTTTTGAGAGTGTCTGTAAGGGAGTAAAGCAGAGAAACAGTATACATCAATGGATCATAACATGAAAGTTTTTCTTGAACTACTTATCTCAGTTTTTAGTCGCTAAGTGCAGTTTTATCTGTCCGTCTATACAGAGATTTATCACACTGTCCACTTACCCAGCCACCTAACTGTTTGCCTTCCTGTCTATCTGCCAGTTAATCTGTCTCTGTTGCTATCTGGTCCTTGCTCTCTGTGTTTTAGACATACGCAAGGACAAGTCACTAGAGTTTAGCGCAGCACAGTGCAGAGAGAGAAATCATATTAGGCTAATTACACTGGGTCATAAGCTCCTATTGACAGCTTTATGCGTGCTTTTAATTACTGCCCACTTTCACACAACTTAGCCCCTTCACCTCAAGTAGATGCACCCGCCAAGTTACTGTGTTAGCCTATCAGAGCACTAAAATCCAGCCCGCAGTCCAGCCATCCAATAAAAACATTCCAATACTGTCTGGAAGTATTCTGAAATCGTTTGTTACCATGGCGGCTCTTTTGCTGCCATGGCAGCTAACAGAGTATATTTTTATTTTGTGTCTAACAAGCCAAATCATGGCCCAATAGGAGGCAAGAGGACAAGAGCTGAGAGGAAGCTGTAAAAAGTTTGTAGATGATATAAGGATGAAGAGATGAGTAGTACCTTTTAGCACTGGATCAAGGGCATGGTGATCTGAACTGACTTTAATTTCCAACATTTATTCTCTGTTCTATCTATGTGGCACAAACTTTTTAATCTCACTCAGAGGATTGCGTCACATTATGTCTTTAACTTTGTTGCTATGGAGGGAAGAACATGGTTGTTGCTGGGTAGGAATATCTCATTGCTGAAATCAGCATGACTGGAGTAACAAGTCGGATCAAAACTAAATGAAGCAATGTGTCAAGTTAAAATTCCTTTAATTATATTTGGAAAAACTTTTCAGCCACATTAGTTAATATTTCTTCACACTTTTCCGGCAGTGGATATATTGTTGGAAGTAATTACAAAAATGGATTTGGGATATTACAATCTAAAGAAGAACTTGTGTAAGAGTGATAAGAACTAAATTGTCAAACAGGGGGAGAAAATTCTGATGACGTTAGATTGACAGAAAAAAATGCTGTTGCTGTTCCATGTCCTGAATGCAATACAGTGTATTTCTGTTATGTTTAATCCCACACTATCTGCTGAGATCCTTTAAAATTTATATGAGGGTAAGTCATAGTACACCTTAAAAGTGACCAAAAGAAGACAACAGTTTGACTGAGTTCAATTTTGCCTCAGGTACATCATCATTTCACATTGGTTGTGGTTATTTGCAGAGGCAAAATGAAGATCATTGTGTCTTAGTATTTATGAAGCTTGTGTAATTAGCCGTCCCCTCAAGGCCACATTTATTTAGACAACGATTTACAATATCATTTTTAAGAGTGATTTAATGTAATCAGATAAAATGAACAGGGCTTGGTGCGTGTCCTCTTCTTAGCCAAAAAGAATTACTGCAGCACCGTTAGAGAACCTGTTTGTTTTATAGAAGTCAAAGCAAAAGTGCCGTTGAAAACATTATTATTAGGGAATAATAACTTTCTTTGTCAGAGGAGTCGCAGTGAGATGCAGTAATGGTTAAACACATGAACTCCTCTACCTGTTAAAATATGAGAAGGTTGGAGAAGCTGGTTAATGAAAGTTTGGTTGATTTTAGGAAAATGTGCCAAGAAATAACAGGACCATTTTGGTTCCGGTTTGACTGCTGGAGTTTCTGCACTCTCTTCTCGTGTCTTGCCAACCCTTTACTCAGCCACACCCAAATTTTCCAGCTTCTCCTTTTTCCTTTCCGCCTTTCCTCATATCCATTTCCCATCTTAGTCCATCTGCACTGTCACTTAGATCAATCAGTCTGATTGATCACGGCCTAATTGACTATTATTGAGGTTAATTCAACTCTTAACACACACGCACCCACATGCGCATGAGTACAAATCTTGCAGTCATAGCCACAAACGACACGCCACGCATAGAGATACACACTTTCAACATGAAAGCTCAGACCCATCCATCTGCCTTCTGCACTACTTCTGACAGGCTACAGATGACTTACACATGCAAATATCCACCCCGCCTGACCCTGAGCTGTGTACACCCTCTAATTATACCCAACACAAGCACACAAATAAGATTACTTAGTGTGTGTGTGAGAGTGTGTGTGTATGTGTGTGAATAACTCCTTGATGAAGGTGAAAAGTAATTGTCATGCAGATATGTTAGTGTTGGGCTGCATGGTGAAAAGGTTTTGCACTCACTGCTGATGGTAGTTTTGATGGATGGTCCAATGAATTGAATCTTCTGTTGGTCTGTTGAATATTGGTTTAATTAAGAGAAGTTGTCATCAGAACAAGTTTATAATACTGACAATGGAGGGAAAATAAGTTTTAATCATAGTTTGTGTCAGATGTTGTCTCTCCCTTTTACACAAACAGACATTTGAAGCCAACTAATGTGATGAATGGTTTTTGACCGACAGGTGTGGGCAGTGAACTCGGCTGGTTATTCTGCCAGTCCTTGGGTCAGTGGGAGAACGGGACCTGCCCCACCCGAGGGCGTTGCTCCGCCTGTTTTCCTGCGTGTTTCAGCAACCTCAGCAGTGGTGGACATCCATCCTCCGGCTGAGCCCAATGGAATTGTTAGTCTCTACAGAGTGTTCTCATTGGACCACAACAATCGGACTCTGGTAATAAGGATGCTACAACAATTAGTCAGGCTCTCAGTAATAACCTGTACTGCCCCGTTTTCTATCTGTCTCTTGAACCACATACCAGTTATTTTCTTAGCTTCTTGACTGCCCAAAATGCCAAAAGCCTGTTTCACACAACAATGTCTTCTTCCTGTAGCTCTCAGAGGGTACTTCCCTTCAGCAGATTCTTCATAGTTTGCGTCCGTACACTCACTACTGGGTTGGGGTTGAGGCCTGCACCTGTTACCAGGTACAAATGAATGCAGACCGCTTTGTTATGAAAGTAACCATATCGGGTCAATTGTTGAATGCTATTTTTAAATATCTAATTTCCATTTTCCACATTTGTCAGTGCTGTAGCCAGGGTCCTTTGAGAAAACTCCACACCCTTGCAGCTCCCCCCGATGACCAGCCGCCTCCTCGCCTTATCGCTCTGACCTCTCGCTCCGTTCAGCTGGAATGGGATGAGCCTTTTGCACCTAATGGAGTCATTGAAAGGTTGGGAGGAGTCTTGAAAAGAGTACATTACAGAAATTTACATGTGCACCATATTCTGACTCACTCTGTCTCTCCGTGTCCAGCTGTGAGCTTCATTTCAGGTCATCCTGCCCACAGCCTGCCCAGCCCATACCATTCCATTGCACTGAAGGACCAATAAAAATCAGTTTCTTTGGTAAAAAGAGGACCTACAACGTAACAGGTGATTTTGAGATATTTCAGATAAACACACTGTTTAAATCTAAATTCGGTTCAGGTTTAGTTTACATTAAAAACAGTAAATATTATTTAGCGGTAAAGCTAAACCTCACTAGAGCAATATACCTATTAAATGATTGCACAACTTGGAAATGACCAGTCTTAGAAATCAAAACATTGGCTAGTGGAGTATTAAGAGTTTCTATAAACCCAGAATCCTGTACATGTCTGACATATTTCTAAGTATTAAGTTTGCAAGCGTTCACTGGAGAAGAATGAAAAGATGTTGTGTGTTTTTGTGCCACAACTGAACTGCACAGGTCTCCGGCCATACTCCAGCTATGATGTGAGAGCTGCCTGTTTCAATAACATGGGCAGCACTGCCTCCAACTGGACTACAGTGAGCACACTCAGCGAAGGTAACTCATGGTTTCTGTCCCTCCATTGTCACAGTCAAGCAGTTTAAAGAAGATTTACATATAAAATCTCCCTGATTTCTGCTCTCAGCCCCCCAGTATGTGTCCCCTTTTACGGTGGACAGTAACCTCACAGTTATTTGGCTGGACTGGAGGGATACCTTTTCTCTCAACGGATACCTGAAGGAGTACACTGTGACAGAGAGCCAGTTGAGGGTCTACACTGGCTTTTACAGTTATCTTCATATTCCTCGCACCTCGCAGAAAAGTGAGAACAGAATTTTGTTTTCAGTCAGATTCACTCATTTGGCTTTTAGCTTTATTATAGAGAAATGTTTTCCCCTTTATAAAACAAGTCTTTAAAGTTTGTTGCACATCACAAAACTGTACTTATCTGATCTAATTAAATTCTTTTAAAAATGTGCTGTGTCAGAAAATTACGGAGGTTGCATTTACATGATGATCTTTGGGGAACAGCTCACACTCAGGGGTTACAGTGGGTCACATATGTTTTGATGTCAAGAAGAGGACATTTGTAATATCAGCAGACATTTGGCTTTGAAACTGTGACTGATAAGTATCATCTCCTCTACTTCATGTTCTCACAATGTTGTTTTCACGTTTTCATTTGTTTCCCGTAGCTCTATCATTTCAGGTGTCCTGTACCACAGACAGTGGCAGTGCCAGCACTCCCACCATAAGATACAGCCCAGCCTCGGGCCTAGGTGACACACACCCTCACATAGTTGGCAAACTAGATTTAAAAAGAGCTGACAATCCTAATCCTTTCTAAATGCAATATGTATACATTAGCCAGTTATATTGTCTTGTTTGTTCCTCTTTCTTTTTATATAGGTCCACTTGAACCAGTGGATACGGGTAAACAGGGTGTCAGCATGTCAGCTACACCCGTTTACTCAGAACTGTGGTTCATCCTGCTGTTTGCCCTGCTGGGTCTGTTTCTACTTGCCATACTGCTGGGATTAGTGCTCCAAAGGTATTTTAATCTCAACCCAAGTCCAGGATTAGCTGATCTTATAGATTTGAACGTAGAAGACAGAAGGCATATCATTTTTACTATTCTGTGAAAAATACTAGCCCATGCAATTGTTTATTTTATATCATGACAACTTTAATTCTTTGAATGTTCTTTTTAATTACGCTGTATGCATTGTACTGAATGAAGGTTATAGAATAAAACTCCCTATTTGGGATTATCCACCACTTGAAAGCACAATTCAGTTATACATTCAAGGTAGCACAACATATACAAAAGACTTAGAGAGCAAAACAAATATTTTCTCCACTTTCAGAGCCTTGAGGAAAACTCCATCAGCTCGAGAGCGCCCTCCACTGGTCATGCTCCAGAAAACCAGAAAGGCCGGAGGAGAAACGTACACGGTGAGCCGCACACAGAGGAGCAGCAGCCCAGACATACAAAGGGTTGTTTAGAAGAGAAAAATTATCAGTAAGACCAAAAGAGAAGCGCAGAGAAGTAAATATGAGGTGAAAACTATTTGTAGGTTGCATTTAAACTTTTTAGGTTGTGATTTAAGAATCAAATCCTGTCATCGTGTAGTTTAAAACTGTAAACAAATCTAGTGTGTTAGTTTATCTGTTTTTCAAAATTTTGCAACATAAGCCTTTAAGATGTTTGACCAACTAAAACTGAATTGAATTTTCCTGAGATATAAATGTTCTCTAATCCTACAATGACCCTCTATCTGCTGTTTGAGTATCCATGTTCTTCATTTTGCTCTTACGGTAATTTTTCATTCCATTCTGTCCTGCGACGTTTTGATTTATTTAGATTTATGTTTTATCCTTTTTTTATTGTGTTAATCTCTCTTCTGTATTTTTCCATCTTTTTTCTGTGATTCCACTTCTTCCGACACCATTCTCTCCATCCTTCTGCGTCCGTCCTTCTCCCCCTCAGAGGCCCTCTCCTGAGCTGTGCTCTAAACATCTCTACAGCTCTATGCTCTTCTCTGGCACAGTAAGATTGTTTTCTCTTTTTGTAAATTGCTGAAACCCCTAAATGTTTGTCTCACTGTTCCCTGCAGTTTGACACTGTAGCAGACTGTGTAGAGATCAACAACGTTATACTTAAAAGCTACACTGTGTACTCAGAGGTATGGGAATGTGGATTTTTATGGGTTGCCTCCCTGCGCATGCTCTCTTCATTTGCATCTGCATGCTTTGTGTGTTTGTTTTCCCCCGACTCTTTCATGAAACACTTAACAATGCTCATTGTTTTAGAGCCTAAACTGGGCATCTGCAGTGGTTCTGCTGAGTTAGTTCCAGATTTTTTTTCATATTATTAAAAAAAAATCTATCTATTGTTTCAACAACTGGCCAAAATTGTCCTCTTTATATCTTTATATTTATATATTTTGACATTTTTTAAATGGTTAACTTTGCTCTCACTGGAATGAATGGAGAATCCTTCAAATCTTTCAAAAAATTTGAACCTCTTTTAATCGGCTAGAGACACCATTAAACTTTTAATCCGGTCTTAAAACATTCAGTATATATCAAATGTCTAGACACCGGTTCAATTTTTAGAATTTGAGCAACAAGAGTCAGAGAAACTCTTCAAGAATGTCTTAGATATGATCTTTGACATCTCTTCATCAATGTGTTGAAAAGGTCTTTACCTGTCACTTAACCCTAACCCTATTCAGTTGATGCCAACATCCTTTTAGAATGACTTAGTTCAATAGTTTTAGCTTAAACAAGAGTTTGTTAACAAAGAGTTTGTTTATTCTGGTAATTGGTGAACAATTAGCTAACACACTCCTGTTTTGCAAAAACAGCTATTTTTAGTTATTATTTTTAAAAATTCACATTTACATGTTATGTTTGAGATAAATGCAACTTTACCAAAGAGGCATTAATCATACATTTATTCTTATTGTTTGAATTAGATCATTGTCATACCAATTACATTTTAAACCGCTGCAGATTTGAAACGATATGGAGTCTCTGTTGGACTTACACTCTGTACCTCTCAGGGTATGACAGACACAAAGATCAGCGGCAGCAGCTCATGCTTCAGCCCCATGTCTGTCCTGCAGGCACCCAGCCACACAGAGCTCAGTCAGGGTTTCTCCCAGCATTCCCTGCACCGCAGCGTCAGTCAGCTGATTGACAGGAAGTCTCTGATGATGGAGGAAGGAAGCTGGGATAACCCACTTGGACATGATTCTGGACTGGTGAGAACAAAAATGTGTTAATAAGAAGTACACAAAAGAGCAGTGATCATGCTACAGTCCTGGATAAGTACCACAACCTTTAAACGTGACTTTGAAAGATTTGAAGTACTAGTTGATTTGGGTCGCTTTGAGTTTCTTGGTTTGTTTTTATTTATATTGACTGCTATTGGATGATGTCTGTAGACTACTGATAGCAAAAAATCAGATATACTGGAAGAAATTGGAAATGTGACTTTAAGTAAAAAAGATGGACATGCCAAGGCTGATGAGAAAATGTTCCTCGCAAATCAATAAGGTCACATGAGCTAGATTTTCTCCATCTAAACTTTACGTTCATATCTATAAAGTGATTCCATAATTCAGTTGTAGCCACAGAGATACTTGTTTTAACCCAGGCTACCACACTCTTGTTCCTTTTGTCCCAACACAGTCACTTTAGCCCCCAAAACAAACCAAATTAGCAACAGTCTGTTGGTGAACTTGAGGCTTCAGGGTGGCAGCTTACAAACCAGGCAAAGATATTGCTCAAATATTTAGCTGCGTTTTTCATCACACAGTGAGGTTTAATCGTGCTCACTCATGTTTTTAAGCTTTCATCAACTCACTGTGAGTTTTTTTGTGTGATTTTTCTTCCAGTATGTGGAGGAAGATGAACTTGTGGACACCATTAAGGCCTTAAGTTCTGTGAAGAAGGAGCACACCATGTTCACCGACACCCATCTTTAAAACAAGGTTCCTACACATCTAAAGTATGAACTGATGCTATTTGGTATTGTTTTGTTGCCGGCTAGATTAGGCCTAACAGCCTTAATGTCTACATTTTAGCAGATACCAATTTACAGGTTCATTGTGAAGCCTCTGAGATGAAAATGCATCCACATCCAGAGTATGTTGCATTAAAGCAGTCCTTGTAGGGTGTTTTATGAATCTTCTTGTTATCTCTGCCTGTAGTAGTTAGCCGCTAGATCACCTTTAATAAGCTCAACTCCTACTGTCTATAATCAGATCCATCCAGAAATGTGTTCAAGTCAGTCAAATAGTGACTAATCTGAGTAAGAATATACGTTATCAGCAGCATTTGTGTGTTAATTTGTGAAAAGACACATGGCCTTGATGTTATTTTCTCTAAAATGCCAATTCTTTTTTATTTAAATGTGGCTGGGAGTCACAGATGTGCCCTCTTATTGTTGTGATTACTGTATGTGATGTAACTTCAACTTCTAATGAGACTGTTTTACATGGGGATGTCTTTCTGTTTACTGTTGTTTGTAATGTAGAAGAACAAGTCAGATAGTTAAATCAGTCAGTAAGCATGGCTAAACAGTTTATTTGTGGCTTCAAGTAACTCGTCTTTAAGTCAACAACACAATTAGTTGAAAGTAAAAAATCTTTGCAATATGCTGTTTTGTTAGTTTTTAAACATTGTCTTTAGTTTTCACAGCTTGGCCTAGAAACAGTATTATCAGTGGGAAACGTTTATGGATTATAATGTTTTTGTGTACGATAATGAAGTCTGTGACGACATTTTTTTATACTTGCAGTATTATTTATGGTTGTTTTAAGAAACTCTTATTTATAGATGAATAATGGATCAATGCTCTTGTAGTTTCTGGCATATTAATAAATTTACCAGGCTAGTGTGTTCTTACATTTTCTTTACTCTAATCACATTGTTACCTATCAAGAAAAAATTAAGAAAGAATTAAAGAATCAAAATTTGCTGAGGGTTCTGAAAAGAAAGTAACCTCTGTGGTTAAAAAAAAGAGAACACGAGAGACAGCTTGTAGCACTTTAATCTTAACACCGCTTTGAACCAAACTGTCAGCATTTAAAGCAGCACTTTAAGAAAGCACAAATGTGACACGTTAATGTGCAAACAAAACCTAGAAAGGACTAACAATGCAGATGTGTTATGATGACAAAAGAACAACACCTACATTACATATGTGAGTATTTTTTCCATAGTGATATTGTGCCTCAGTATAAATATTAAAATAAACATTTAGAAATACATCAATGATATTACAATAGTTAGCACACACATTTGAATGAATTGTGTTTGTGCGTGTACTGGGGTGAAAAATATTAAACCAAGTGTTTTATTAAGCATTGAGACAAGGCTGAAAATTCTGATTCTGAATGTGTTCTTTTACAAAGACTCATTTCCTAAGCTGAAACATCCATTCTGAAATCCTCCTTTCTGCTGAGTTTGTACAACAGATGTGCTAGCAGCTGCACAGACTTATTTACCACACGCATTCACACACAAACACACCACAAGCGCGCACCAGGCCCAGTGTCTCCATCAAAACTATGCACCCGTAATTTAGTTTTACTCCTGCGTCCCTTAAGGGGACATTGAGGCAAGTTTGAAATTAACAAACTGGCAGTAACAACCGTGCCCTCGCTCAAGGACGCCAATTTGACAAGGGCACTTCTGCAGCATTCACAGCCACATTCACAGCTATTGTCAGCCACGGAGGGAGGGTGAGGCTGTGAAAGGAGAGCTTGTGGAGTGATTGTAAGGGACAGTATGGCCCTGAGCTACACGCACACACTCACAGAGGGTTTTATTAAACTCATAAATCACAACGTGGACAGACGGCGTCTCAGAGAGGAGACGGTCTGAGAGGGAAGGTTAGTGAAACCAAAGCGCAGGGGACACAAACATGTTTGTGCGCCTTTACAACGCCCAAAACAAAAAAAAAAGTGCGCTTCAGCAAGACATCCTAACAAACCATGCGCTGAAAACTCCGCTGTGACTGGTCGCGCTGCCTTTCTGCTTCCCCAGCTTTCCCGCTTTTGACAACCGAAACACCCCAACCTTTGAAACACCGACTGCGTGTTAGAGTCGTCTTGCTGAAGTTCTCGTCATCCGTTTAACATCCGAGCATGTTAAACGCAGAGACTCTTCTAAATTCTCTCTCACACAATGATGCATAGAAAAGTAACTGTATGTTTGATAAAAATTACTTGTCTCAACGACTTAGTGAGAAAGAACATAGCAGTCATCTTTAAAAAATAAAAAAATCTTTTTTTTTTTCTGTGAATGCAGTACTAGTCATTTGATGAGTTTGGAAGAAGCTGTCAATAACGTTACAACTAAATATACCTCTTCTTATACACATAATCTAAAAAAATGACATACAGTAAAGTTAAATAAAGAGAAATGTATTTCTTTTTGCTCACTAGCATCCGGCTGTAGTATAATGTAAACATCGCCATGGAGGCTTTGAGAGATGAAAGCTAAAACAGAACGCGGATAAACAGCTATGTATTGAAATACACTCTAAACGTTAAGTAGTTTTAACCATCCAAAATAAATGCTAGTAAGTTACAGTAACATACAGTAACATTAGTATTCATAATGCAAAGGACAAATGCATTTAGGTCAAATACATGATTACATGAATGCAGGCCTTAAATGGACGTACATGTCTGTGTAAACACACCAATACAAATTAATGCATCCATAGTAGGAATTTGTTTTCAGTATGTAAGTCTACTGTCTGTACAGTTAGTATATAAAAAAACTACATCTTTGTACAAGCAGTGACCACAGGGCCGGTAATATTTCCTTTTCCAAAAATCTGGAATAATGCAGATGTGAAATTTGGCAAATCCAAAAGTTGCAGGATAAAGTTTAGATTTGCAAAAGTACCAGACACAATGAGGATATAAGCTGACCAGACAAATGTCTCAATCACACATGAATCACAACCAACTGTTTAGGTCTACTTCCACTGTATGCCGCACACACATTTTATGGTGTGAGGCCTGAAAGTGAGAGTGTGGTGTACTCTCCACACAAAAACAGAACATGTGACAGTACATTTCCCAGGGCCTTGCTTAGAAGCTTCCTATTTCCACCTTAATATGTGTCAGTTATTTACAACAATAACTGAACAATTCATATGTAATGCCACCAATGATCAGATTTGACTTGGCTTGTTGTAAATCTGTTGTAACACAATTTTAGCCAAAGTCAGAATGAATAGGTCCATAAGACGCGTCGGCACGGATCTGGATCTTCACAAGCCTTTGGTCACATTACTGTATGTTTCAGTTCAGACACACTATTAGTTAATAAGGCACTGCACCAGTCGTCCCACACGCACCGAAGGGGAGTAAAGTGATATAGTGTAAGGGTAGGTCCTGATATAAAGCTAAACACGCAAGTAATTTAAAAGATGACATTTAAAAAAATAATTAACATGATCTTTCACAGGCACCACTGGGAGAGGAGGACATGGGTTCAATGCATTTTTCTGCTTAACTGTCACGTTAAAAACATCCCATCAAATTCTTTTGTTCATTTTAGAATATTTATAGAGGAATAGGGCCGTTTGAAACTACATTTAGTACGGGAGCACATTATTACTGACATTATAACTGACAGGTCAGCTTCTGACTGCTGAAGTCGGCCAATAATTAGGTAAAACCCAGAAGAATTAATCAGATCTTTCAAACCAGGATCAAAGTTTCTCTTGCCCGCCTTAACACCGGTGTGGCACAGCACTGAGCTGTCGGCCGGCGAAGCTTAAATATTGTGTCGCATACTTGACCGAGGAAATTTCTTCACTGAAAGCTATCAGTGGTGTTTAGTGTCAACAACAATAACTTACCGCGGTGAAGTATTCACAGATTGGGGATTTGATTAACAGCTGTGGGGTAAGTTGATGGTCATATTAGTAATATTGTAATCCTACATGCTCTCTTTTCGATTGACAAATGTGTATAATTGATTAATTATTCAACTATTGTGTGTGTTTCTGGGTTTCTGTGTGTGGCTTTTTCGACTTTTGTAGTTGTGTTTTTCTTACGAACCAAACCAAACACACGTGAAAAAACGCAATGTCAGCAAACTAGTGCACCTCACCTCCTCTGGGACCTGTCATTTACAAGCAGGCCGCAACCTTACTGTTCTGTGTACCTGATCAGACCTGAATATGTTTCTGGATATGTTGAGCGGGCCTCGCCAGCACGGGAGAAGCAAAGCGTTTCAGACATTCTTCAGCTGAGTGGGCCAACTTAGACAGAAATGTGTGAACATTATCACCCATCCGCTAAGACAGCCTAAAGCAAACACCAGAATCCAACTGAGATTTCCAGTTACACCTAGAAGTTTTATAAAAAAAACGATCAAAATGAGATGTAGTGTATTTAGTGCTGGGAAGATGTAATTGCCTCGTGTGTGGTGGATTCAATGAGCATGGTATTTCATCCTGGATGGAAAGACCACAGACGGGGCAAAAAAATGTAGTGGAAGGAACGAGGCAAACTGGCCAGCAGTTAGTTTTCTGTTCTCCTTTTCTCTTGTACTCAGCCCTCCTGTCTCGTGTGCATTAACAGGGAAGTTTCAGGTTGTAATCGATAGATGAGCAGCTCTCACAGGCTGCTGTCCTGACTGGCCGGGTCAGGCGCCGGCTTCCTGTGTCGGGGCGAGGTGGAGGCAGCCACTTTGGTTGGGGAAGGTGAGGCGTTAGCAGACGAGTCACTGCCCCCGCCCTCCGATCCAGACGGGACGGAGGAGAGCTGCGGAACTGGGGGAGCCTTCTTTCTCCCCAGAAAACTGCCCTCTAGCACTCCCTTTTTCTTCGTTCCTCCGTCTGTTTTCAGCCCCTCTCCTCCAGATCCAGGCCCTTCTCCCTCCTCTGGCTGAGGGGGCACTTTTCTCCTGACATCCCCTCCTGGGACTGGGCTGTCTGGGGGGTTTCGTGGAGACTCTTGTCTGCCTTCTGCTTTTGTCCCTGAGATGCCACCGACAGAGACGCCCGAGCTTGCACTGGATGTGCGGTACGCCCAGAGCTCCAAAACCGAGGCTCTCCTCTCACTGTCATCAGGCCCGAAGTCACATAATGAGCGCCGGGGATCCGGGGTCTGGTGGGGCCCGTGGTTTAACGTCTGCCCCGCGTTATCCAGAGCACCGCGGCTCAGGCTGAAGTTCTGAAAGTCTCTACGGGAACATATACTGGGGTCAGTTACAGAACAGGCACAGCTCAGCATTTTCTAAGCTTATATGCTCAAAGCATAATCAGATTATCATCAGGAAAACAATGACAGGAACTCCTAACCAGCACACCAGGTGCAGGCAGAGCCTGGTCCCGATTCTGAAAAGCACCAGCACTGGATAGGTTCCACTTCTCTCTGTTCTGAGCACTAAAAACTGACAGGCTCTTTGTTGACTGAACCCATTTAGTGTCATTAATTCAGTGTAGGCATGTCAATTAATAGGAAAGTAAAGTAACTTTTAAGGACAAAGAGCATCACTATAATAAATAGTGTCATTTGAAGTTTAAAAAAAGAATAAATGAGTAAACATTACTTGTCAGGGTGTTGAACAGTGCTCATAGTTAGTAGTTTGTGTCGGATGCCTGAGATTTCAGATTTTAAAGTTTTTTTTAAATGCAGCCAAGAAATTCTGCATTTCTTTTGATTTATACATTTCTTTTACACTAATTGCTAATACAAAATGCAAACAAAATGATGGAAGGAGTGCAGTCAATGAAGCGGTTTGTAAAAGTTACGCCACCTGTAGCTGTTAAAGGACTCTGTTCTCCGAGCTCGAGCCAGCAGGGGGCTCTCTCTGTAGGGGCGCACTGCTCCGTACGTGGCTTGGTTCTCAGGAATGGGCTCCTGGGCCTGTAACTGCAGGCTGATGTACAAGACAAGCGTTGGATAAAACATTACGCAACACCGTAAATAGAACCTACAGTTGGGTAACTATGGTAACTGTCTGTCAGACCTGGAGCAGGACTCCCTGAGCCGTGAGTGGTGCAGCATGGAGGGGGCTGGGCTAATGTTTGGTGTTGCACAGCGGGAAGTGCTCAGGTCACATTGGTCCAGTAGCTGTAGCAGCTCCTCCTCTGTGGGCCCACCGACATCTAAAAAAACACAAGAGGAGCCTGGCATCACAAACACAGGAAATCCCCACATTCTATTTTACATCTTCTGATCCCTTCACTATCAGGTGCTTCTTGCACGGGTCTCCGCACCCTCTTTCTTCCTCTCTTCTCCTTTGTTTGCCGTGTCCATCGCAGTGGTCAGGTCCCACATTTGAATGCTGCCGTTGCCATGGCCAGTGAAAAGATAACGCCGCGGTCGGGATCCCATTCGACTCGAACCCTCGCATTCCCGTACCATGAAACACGAGATAGTGGTTCCATCCACTGACTGCACCTCACATATCCTGGATGTAAATATCACGCATGTAAATGAACATTTGGGTCAAAGGAAACCCATAACGAAAAGGGGGATGGATAAAAACATACCTCTTTCCAGTAGAAGAGAGTCGCACAAACAGTTTGTTGGTGATGGGGATGACCTTCTGGATGAACACTTGTTGGTCATCTCTTTCTCCAAATGGGCCTGAGAGCCGAGGACAACAAAGCCAGACATATCTGAGATGCTGTTGGGGAGAGTTAGCTGAATCTGTACCATCATTTGACTAGGTTATTGCTTTGCCTGTTCTCCACCATGATCTTCAGCCTTGTGTAAAAACGCTCCAATCACAGGACTGTTCCTTTATCCATCCGGGACTGTATGTGCGCGTTGTGCTTCTCTCCTCATCATCCTCACCTATATCATTCCCAGAGCAGTAGCTTCCGTGACTCTCCGTCTCCTCCAGGGATAGTATCTTAAAAGAAGCCAGTGGGGTGGAGCCTGGCTGTGTGGAGATCATGCCTCTGAACCGGGTCACCGTCCATGTGCGGACATGGTTGTTATCTGCGCATACTGCCAAAGAAAAACCAAGGAAAAAAGACATTTAGCATTTATAGCCCAGTAAAATACTGTAATGTGGAATAAGCGTGAGCATGGGCTCTTCGTTACTGTTAATAGCCCGGAGCATGCGTGACCCCCCTGCAACACCTGCCTCACCTGATACCAGATGTTTCTCAGACAGCATAATCTTTGTGACCGGGCTCCTGTGCACAGTGAAGGTCTGAAAGAGCTGAGGACCGGATCCCACCGTCTCTGGGTGTTGCACAATCACTCTCACCGCACCGCTGCTCGTTCCGTAGGCTATCTCTATCCAGTTCCCACTCACACCTGAGAGCAGGGGCGGGGATGGGCAGGCAGAAGACAACACACACAAAGGTAAGCTGCTGTTCATTGTGTTTTTTTAAAGTGTCTTTAATTTCCTGGATGCTGTACAGAGTTTAAGAAAATAAGAAAGAGGGAGGAATACAATCCCTTCTCATTTTAACTTGACTACTCACTGGTTTTAGGGGTGAGGTACACTGACAGTGCAGTGATGGCATCGTTCGATGGGTCATGGTAAAGCTCAGTCACCAGAAGATCATTGTCCTTCATCCTCAGTGGAAACTTTTGCATATCTGAGAAGTAGAGAGAGGCAACACTGAAAGGTGTCCGTTTGTTCACCAGTTTTATAAAGCTTTCTTAATCCAGATCCAGGAACTAGACAACTAACTAATCTCTTAAACCAGCTTTTAAATAAAGAACTCGTGGTGTGTGTACTGTACAAATAATGATCAGTTACTGAATTAAAGGGGTGTATTTGTATACCTATGTAGTAGATAGAGCCATTGTTACAGCCCAGTAGTAGGAAGGATCCTGCTGTGTCACAACTGGTGATGGGAACCACATCTTGAACCTAATACACATAAAAAGTCATCTCTGCGTTAATCCACGTTTTTTTGGTCTCACAAAGAAATAATAAAAAACATAGAAAACGGTATAAATAAAAGAAAAGCACAAGCCTTCAGTATGCTCCTCTTAGTCTTTCTGTGTTGCCCCACCACAGACTATACCTGCCAATGTTGTGTGACAGCATTCCACACCCCAACTTTTCCTGTGTGGCTTGTAGCCACGAGTTGGTTGCCAATAAAGAAGAGGTTGTCAACGGGTACACCGAGACTGAATACACCTGACAAAGAGAGAGACAACAACGATAGGAATGAAGCAAATGCAGATTGAAAGTAGATTCAGACTGAAGGAGGTCAGAGGGGAAATCAGTTAGTGTGGGGGAATATGGTTTAAAAAGTCTTAGTATGGTCTGCTATGACAAATAATGGGGCTAAACTCTGAAACACATCATTGGAGAATACTAGATTCTCTTTATCTTTACACCGTTTTGATGTCATAAACCTACCTATCTCGTTACCACTGCCTCCATCTTGGATACTCCAGAGTATGATGCTGCTTTCAGAGGCTGCAGCCACCATCTTGTCTTTGTCTCCATGCGGACCGCCTACAACCTTAGCATTAAGTGCGATACGTTCAATGGTCCAGTCAAGGTAAGGTGAGGAAAACACCTGCTGCCATCCAGACGATTCCTTAATCCTGAAACACAACATGGACAAACAAATGCTGTGTTTTACGTGTATTACTGTACTTTTCTATCAAAGAAACAGGATCACTGGTAAACAAGTGTCTCTGCTTTCCATTTGGGATAACATCAACACAAGCCTGCGCATGGGCAACTGTGTAAAGGAAAGTAAATTCAATAGACAATTTGTCGTAGATTTGACACAAAAGAAAGAATCTGCTTCACATGTTTGTCCCTGGCTCCATTTTGATAAAATATCAATAACCGACTCATTTAACTTAATGTTTCCTGCGAATGGAATTACATGGGAATGTCACAACATTACCTGTAGCAGATGACAAAGTGCGCATAGGCTGCCACAATCCAGTTGTGGTGTCCTGCTATTATAAGCACTTTTCTTGGGTCTACCACAGGCCCTACACAGACAAACGACATACACACAAACACAAACAGTCAGTTGGCTTTTCCATCCCATTGTTTATTCGTTTTAGTAAAGATGTCCAGCAGGCCTAGACGGTACTCTGTTGACTGTGGCTCACTCTGCTCTTATATCCTCATCGTCAGCAGGGATCAGGCAGATGTGGAACTAGGCTACTTCAGTCTGAGCTGTTAGCGAACTAAAAGGATGTCGGGTCACATTAGCGGCAGCGCTAATGCACTCTCACACTGCTACATTCTCCAAGTAAAATTTCCATTGTGCGCATGTGGACTAACAGCAACTTAACCATCACAGAGACCGGACGCACAATTTCTTAAGGGCAGGCAGAAGAAACCCTGTGTGTCAAGATGTAGACCTTTAGTCCTGTTTAAGTAAGACACCCGGTGCCGCCTGCTGCTTGAGATGAAACCTAAGACAGGCCCTGGGCTTCTTACCCAGTTTGTGGGTGTCCTCTGGGCAGGACAAACAGGGGTGAACCCGGGTGACTCCCTCTGCTCCACTCGGACCTGCTCGCTCATCAGAGGCTGCTGATGCAGGGCTCGGCCTACTGGCAGGAACAGCTGTCGAGGAAAGATTAGCAGAAAACTATTTAAATGTATTTTTAATCGTTTTTTACTATGCTAACATGAGGCCACTGTGTTTATTGTGAAACTTGAATAGAATATCACTCGCACCATTCGCTCTTCATTTAGCGTAGCCCTCTTACCTGGAGGGGGTAGGTATCCGTGGAAGAGCACGCTACCACATGAGGAGCGCTCCAGTTCCTCACAGAGCAGGAGGCGCCGCACTGCTCACATGTGCATGCAACACACAGAAAGGAGACGACACAAATTTAATTTAAAAATATATATACAATCCATTGTGAACACAAATTAAATCTGATTTTTAGATTTGCATGCATTTTGCTGCACTGACTCACATGTGATGCACAATAACTTTAAGTTTTGGCAAACGGAAACTTTTAAAAGATCAGACAATGTGGGGAAGTTAAAATGCTGAAACTGGGTATCAGACTTCATGTATGTGGAACTGATGCTGTTTAAAGGCTCCATCTTAGATAAGCTGTATCCGAAGTTCACTCAACAAATATCACATTATGACCCAATGGTTCACTTAACCATAGCCCAGTTCTGATATCATGGTTTAAATTGATGGAGATCCTAATTATCAGACAGAAGCAGTATAAGATGTTTCTAATTGGCACTATGATTGTCTCTGCTGACCCCGCTCCCTATTTAGACCATGTTCACCAACCTAAGGGAGTAATCCCGTAGAACTCAGCTTCATGTCGCAGGACACTGATGTTGACACCTCTGCAAAACAAAAGGCACACAGTGGGTATGTTTTTTTTAAGAGACCAGTTCCCAGTAGACATATCTTAACCCCAAAATAAAAAGTCGGTGGTATTAAGGTAAACCAACTTTGACTTCTTACCGCAGGTCCAGCTCTTTGGTTCGAAGGAAATTGAGAATTGGTGCAAATGCTGTCGGATCTCTGTCGATAAATATCTGAAATCAAGAAGTTTTGGACTTTGTCAGCCTATGAGAAAAAAGCTAATTGTTGGGGTTTAAAAAAGCTCAAGGTAATTAAACTGGACTACTCATAAGTGCTCCCACCTCATGGTGATCATAATTTTTTTTAAATGTAGCACTTCTTGTTTGCACTTTGGGTTTTGTTTCCTGTCACTGGATGCGTCCTCCTCAAGCTGCCCTACATTTAGAATAAGAAGCAACAAAGCCTACTCACAGCTCCGGTTTCGTCCCGAAGAGTAGATATCCTCCCGCTCAGTAAACTGCAAAACACACACAGACAGTTCTCCAGGTAACCCAAGCAGCTCTCATCTTCCACCTAAAAGCTGTGTGACCACCACTTCCATTTCTTAACGTACAAAGAAAACTGCTAACCTCAGTCTATATTATTAACCGGCCAAAATGAGCTCATTCTTACTAACACAGTCTTTCTAATTCAGGATTGGGTATTTAAAACTGACTGCAGACAGGCGGCGGGCCGTGGACAGCTGGGGGCAGAGAGCCTGACGGACAGGTGTGCGGGCAGGCATTTCTACACCACTGGTCAGCTGTTAAGAGTTGGCTGATTCATGTGTTTGAGGTTGTTAAAAAACGCAGCATCACCAAGTGTCACAGTAGGGTGGAATTGATTGTCGACCCTCCGGCTACACCGGGCTGCTATGTTTTACATTTGAAAAGTGTGAGGCAAACTGAAATGCTTTCCTCTTCAAAATCAATAAAGTAAATGTGCATTTTAAACTACAGCCTGAGGCTTTGCAGTCTGACTCCCCATGCCTTATTTCTAAGAATCTAGACATTTAACAGAGTAGTTTGGATAACGCATTTTTTCAAGTTGGATGAGTAAGCAGCAATAAAGTAGGAAAAGAAGGTTTAGACACATTAGGATCATCAAACATTATTAAGATATCAAAAGCAGTTTGGACTTGTGAGTACCAAACATGCCAGCAACGTTTAACCAACCTTGAGAAGAAAGAGTCTGGGATCCACATCAGGGTATGCCGGGAGGTGCTGAACCTACAACATAAAGTCACTAGAATAACTTGGCAAAAACAGGAATTTGCTTGGGTTAGAAATGCCGGATAACTGCGCTGGATGATTTAATGCTGATTTAAAAGCTGCACGCCGATGGTCATAAAACCGACTGGCGTGATGACAACAAGATAACGGTTGAGGGAACGGTACAGTGTGTACGAATTGAATTATTAAATTATTTCTGTGTGTAACAGTAGAAGTAAAGATGAAGATGTGAGCGTTTGCGCCGCGTCTTCTTCACTTACATCCACGGATGCTTGGTCATGCAGACATTATCATGCACGTAAGTAGCCACAGCCGAAATGTTCAGGGGGGGGGAGGACAGTCATCGGTCTGGCTGTCCTGCGGACTCCGCTTACCTTGTCCCGCCGACGTTTAGCTGGATGATCTCCCCCATCCCCGATGATGGGTTGCTGCCGTTCGCAGCCATGATGACAGATCTGTAGCAGCGTTATAGTACGGAGGAGACAGCGTTGTTACAACAGTTTCTTTCACGGCAGCTAGCTTGCTAACGCTCATCTATCTGCTCAGCTGATGCCCCGACTCCACGGCTTCACAGCCTCCCCTTCGTCCCACCTTCCATGAAATATCCGCTACAAACGACCTATGCGGACGGCATCGCAGAGTCTCCGCATAGTGGATAAAGAGAGAGTGTGTGTGTGTGTGTTTAAGAAAAGAACAAATAGAGCCACGCGACGGTCCTCCAGCTCTGCTGGGAGTTTGCCTGTTCCACTGCCCTGCATGTAATTCGGTGGATATCAACTTGCGCAGACTGCTAGCAGCGTAAAACAGCTGTGCCACGGTCTACAGCCCGGGCGAGATGGTTCCCCCCCATCACTTCCGCCTTCGCCGGGACCAGGACCAGCGACGCTACGCTGATGAAAACCCTGTGTTTTCCTGTACAAACGGCCTGAGGAAAGTTGGGCATGTGGATATTTGGAAATGTTGCGTTGCGTGAAAGCGCGTATTTTTGTCATAATTCAAGTTTTGGGCTTAAACAAAGCCTAAATCAAACATGTCAAACTGGGAGACATTTAAAGCCACCGCAGAGACGTCGCACGGGGCTGTTAAAAAAACAACAAAAAAAACAATCGTGATATTGGGTATTGTTTTGCTTTTTTTGCAGCAAACGCGGTGTCATATTTCAGTAAAACTGCTGCCAAAGGTCCTTTAACAGGACCTGTTAAAGCTCCTGCGTTTTGTGTGCGCAAACAAGCGCTCCTCGGCGGCCGCCCCGCCCCTCCCACTGCTGCTGAAAGAAAGGGACTTGAGATGCTACATTTTTTATGACGAACTAGCATTTTTGTCCACAGTTCTCATTTACTACCTTCTTCAATATGTAGCCGAACCTGTTCATTTTGGCGCCTGTGTTCTGACGTTCGGTAAGATGTTGATACTTGACTGTTTAACTTTTTATTGCAGTAACGTGGTTATTTGGCTTCCAGTGGCTTGCTCACCGGGGTAAAGTTAGCAAAGTAGTGGGCGGCTGAACTTTAAGCTAACGTTGACATTGAAAATTAGCCTTAACGAACCCTAAACAGCTAAGCCAGCTTACTTATCTTAATGAGACGGCTGACTGCTGTTCTGATGTCATACAGCAGCGATGCCCCCTCTTTTCAAAGCTACCTATAAATCACAGTAACTTTGGTTGTAACGCTGAGTGTTGATGGTGACTGTAACGTCACATTAAAGGTCGATTCGATCTGCTATCCTCTCCTTATTTATTCTGATTTGTTTACAGCTCATCCTCCCTGAGCGTTTCACTGGCAGTTTGGCCCAGAACACGAAAATGGATGTGTGAGGAGTTCAGAACCGCGAGAGAGCCCAAGGAAGAGGCGTCCCATCTCTTGTTGCCGATTAGAATCAGAAGCCAAGTGAGGGGAAGTGTGCGAAGCCTGCAGGGTTTGTGATGATGCTGGAGGAAGAGGTGAAGGCAGATCCCGGTTCAGAGGGGAAACCAGAGGCGGGGAGCACCTCCAGCAGCACCCCGCCGACACAAAGTGGGGCGTCCGCCCCTTCCCCTGTGGCCTCCCAGAAGCCTGGGGCCAGCTCAGCAACAGAGGATGAGGATGAGAGCGAGGATGAATCCGAAATCCTGGAGGAGAGTCCTTGTGGCCGCTGGCAGAAGCGTAAAGAGGAGGTGCATGCTTGTCACACTCTTCCTCTTCTTCTACCTCCACTGAACACTGCTTTCAAGTTTCCATGATCACAACCCTTTGTTCAGAGAGGCTTTTTTAAATTTAAATGTCCATATAATCAGTAATCCTACGTACCTCAGGACCACATTAGATTTATCCAGCAAAACAACATTTGAACAGTAAATTCCTCTCTTAAGGTTGTGAAAGGAGAAACCTGTTCCCAGTGTCTGCGAATCGGTTCTTCTTTTTTAAGTCTCAAAGTTCTGTTTCATCTCTGTTGAAAGGTACCAGTATGATCTCATGACCCTTTTTTTTTTTCCCCTATACCGCTTTCATTTTAGGTGAATCAGCGTAATGTCCCTGGAATAGATGCTGCATATTTGGCTATGGACACAGAGGAGGGTGTGGAGGTTGTTTGGAATGAAGTCATGATTTCCGAGAGAAAGAACTTCAAACCACTGGAGGTAAGGCCCACTTGCAGATGAGGAATAAAATGATAACGGCTTCTTTGTCGTTTATGAACAGATTGTTACATATTCCTAACTTGCACTCAGCTGACTGTGACGCAGAAAACACTAGACATTTTTCTGTTGGCTGTTACAGGGTGGGGTTCATTTCCGAGAAATGAGCTGGCCTGTTGTCATAGTTTTAAAGCATAAACATAAAGTACAGTGGAGTGAAAATAAAGGTGACATACTGGACAAAAACAAGTCATTTCAATGAAAATAAAGCAGAAAACATAGAAATGAACTATGACTCCACATGTAGATGGTAACTCGGATCAAAGCACAGCTGTTGTCTGTGGTGAATTTCACAGGCAATACCATGGTGATAAAATCCTGGTCTTCGGGTTCAAATGTTTTAATCTGTAAAGCCACACTTTAGTCTCTGATTCAGTGTCTTCTCTCCTTGTGTGTGATTACAGAAAAATAGAAACGTGGAATAGCTATCTTAAATATCATTATGTGAGAGGACAGACAGTAGATATAAGCCAGCAATTGTCATGTGTCGACACTAACTTATGGTGGGTCAAAATAAAGAAGTGTTAATACACAAAGAAAACACATGCTCCCACTGTAGAACCGATCCGTAACAAACTGTGCCAGTCAGCATGCATAACTAATTTATTGCCGTAGTGCTCAGCATCTGTCATTTATTTGTGCTCTGGTTTAGGAGAAAGTGAAGGCCATATTCGATAACCTGATCCATTTGGAACATGCAAATATTGTCAAGTTTCACAAGTACTGGGCTGATACAAAGGACAATAGAGCCAGGGTGAGTTTCATGCCCTCTCATAATTCAATTCCACTGCTGGATAAATGCCAATTGCCACATGTTTTCTACTAATTTTTCTCTACTTTTACTAGGTAATTTTCATTACTGAATACATGTCATCTGGAAGTCTGAAGCAATTTCTGAAGAAGACAAAGAAATACCACAAGACCATGAATGAAAAGGTAACTGGTGTAGACTCAGTGGGTTTCAATATATATATATATATATTTATATCTAAAGATGTTGAATAGAGGAGACTGGCAAAGAGCAGCTTTAATCGTTTAGTTATTATGATATGAGTATGTAGGAGAAATGGGGAAAGAGTGCAGACACAGAACACACTCCTGTCTGAGCAAAGGGAATTTAGAAGGGTCGAGCCATGGTTTGTTCATTTAGGAAGCTCTAACGAGGTGTGTGATCCTGCAGGCGTGGAAGAGATGGTGCACACAGATCCTGTCTGCTCTCAGGTCAGTTTCCCTCCTCCAGACGTGAACATCGGTTCAGGGTTGTCATTCACAGGAAAATGCAATTTATAATAATTCATTCGCTGAATATGTAATGCTTTTTATTTCTCATCACATAGTTATCTGCACTCATGTGACCCTCCCATCATCCATGGCAATCTGACCTGTGACACCGTCTTCATTCAGCACAACGGGCTCATTAAAATCGGATCAGGTATAGAATGACATCAGTTTCATCCCAACAGTTTAGAAAGTGGAGCCGAGGCAGTGCTTATAGAGTTAAATGATGACTTTGAAGAGTGTAAATTTGACCCATTTTCTCTTTTAGTATTCTATCATTGTATTAACAAACGGATGTATTTATCAGGACTCTGAGCTGCCCAGTTGCTCTAAACAAAAATAATGATGTTTGTTTTCTGCTACACTAACTAAGCCAAAATATGGTCTGCAGTGCAGAATACCAGCTGTGTGTTTCCATGTGGCTGTCATGATGTTTAGGCAACATTACATTCTGCGTCTTTCCTCCCACGTCTCATGTTTCCACCCCGTTGTGATCTTGTTTTGTATTCACATGTCTTTCTTCATGTTCTGCACACGTCTCTCAGTACTTGCTGTCCCTCTCATAACCGCTTCTTCATATCTTACCTGCAGTTGCACCAGACACCATTAACAACCATGTGAAGACTTTCCATGAGAAATTGAAGGACTTGCACTTCTTTGCCCCCGAATATGGAGGTATTTATGATGTAACGGTAAACATTCTGTCGGATTTAATAGTTTGGACCCTTGTCAGGGTCGTGCTGTTCCATTTTTGCTCACTATGTTTCAGTCTGAAGTCTGGTTTAGACTGTATCAAATGTCTATAAATAATGAATTTCCTCTCTTTCTTTTTTATGTTTTATTTATTTTTATCTAGCTGATGATGAGGTCACCACAGCTGTAGACATCTACTCATTTGGCATGTGTGCCTTAGAGGTGAGTTCAGTTCCATAATGTCATGCATCAAACCATTTTTCACAGCCATGTGTTAATTTGACTGTTACCTTGCAGATGGCCCTTTTGGAAATTCAGGGGAATGGAGACTCCTCCTACATTTCTCCAGAAGCCATCGACAACGCCATACAGCTGCTGGAGGACCCACTGCAGAGGGTGAGTTGCAGAGTTTACACAGTCTGGGATATCTAGAAGTACAGTGCACCATATTAAGCTTTGCATGTGCACTAAATTAGTCAGTTTTTTTATATCAACTTCCAGTTTGAATTAGCAGTCCGACTGCTCAGAAGTGCCTAAACAAGATGTTGTATTTTTGTAGGAATTGATCCAAAAGTGCCTTGAACAGGATCCCAGCACAAGGCCGACAGCCCGGGAGCTGCTGTTTAACCAGGCTCTATTTGAAGTGCCCCTCTTAAAACTGCTGGCTGCACACTGCGTTGTCAGCCACCAGCGTGAGTCCAAAACGCACACACATGCAGAACTGGACACGAATGATTTATTTCCATAAATAGCTGTAGCTGAGGGATGACTATTTTGCACATTTATCATTCAGGAGCATTTTCGAAAAAGTTCTATATCTGAAATACAACTCTGTCCAAAAGACTTCATTCCACAGTCTTGTTGTTTATTCAGATGAGACTTTACCATTCTGAGCTGTGTTGCCGTGCATATTTATTTGTAGAGATTGGAGGCTTTCTTCAGGAATTTTGATGAAACCTCCAAAAGAGAGTGTTTTTTTTCTCCCATCAGCCGTCAGATGATGGTAATATATGGTGTTTGCATTGGTTTTCCGTGAAACTGGTTTAGATCTGTTTCGGCTCTGAACAATTATATTTAACCAAGTAAGAGTGTACTGATATAAAGATAAATAAACCCATCGTCTCGTGTGAGAAGTCATCAATTTGAATGAATTTCAGACATGATTCCTGAGAATGCCCTCGAGGAAATGACCAAGAAGCTCGACCCTAATCTGGTCATTGCTGTGACTAAAGAGGATGTTCAGCTCAGGTAAGGGCCTGAATCCACAATCATCCACATTTAAGTGAGAGTCAGGGTCTTATAGATGCAAAGAGCATCCATTAAGACAGAACACCAAAAAGTGTACTAACCCTCTGTTTAACAGTTTGGTTGGGAACTTGCAGATTTTTACAAGGTTTTGATCTTTAAACATTTTTGTCTTTTTGTAGACTGTCACAGTTTCCTGCCTTAGAACTCGACAAATTCTTGGAGGATGTGAGGTAAGAACAAAAAGTGAAATGAGTGGAATGATCCTGAAGTATCTAAGCAGCAGCCATAATAAACATATGTTCAAAGTCTCTAAATAGATACTATAAAAAACAGCCTCTGTAGAGTAAAATAACCTCTCCTTTAGTGTGTCCTTTGTCACAGAATAAGAAACTTTGATAGCTATAAATTATATTTCTTAATTGTGAAACTGTGATTTATTAAGACAACATGAGAGTAAGCAGCCTTTCACATAAATATTTTTACCCTTATGAGATACATATTTTATTTATGTTTTGGCTGTGATTCGTGTAACGCTGATAAATTTGTATTAGATGAAGCATTCAAAGCAATCTTTGTAGAATATTAGCATTTGTAGTGTGGTCAAATGCTCATTGTAGCATGGCTGTTATGTATTGTCCTTTTAGAATTAGTTTATATTTCTTTTCTTAACCCTGTGAAGAGGGAAAGAAAAAAGCTAATCAAACAGTGTTTTATATCAAGTTCACACTTTTTTTAAAGATACATAATGTATCCACATGGGGGCAGTGCTGAGCAGTCTTTTATTTTTTGAGGCCTAATTGTTGTATAGTTGTGTATAAACAACAGTTTTTTTTCTGTAATTTTCTGAATACAGAGTTGTTGTTTGGCTTTTTTTTTGCCTACAACTTTCCCGTTGCTCCTTCACACACTCTTACCATGTTGTTACCCCTCATATCTTTTTCTGTCTGGATCAGGAATGGTATTTATCCAATGACAGCATTCGGGGTGCCCTGTCCACAGCATTCTCACAAGGAGACGGTTAAATCTCCTGTGGCCGTCCCCTTGGTCAAATCCCCCACACCTGAACCTGCTGAGCTCGAAACACGAAGGGTGTGTACAAACTAATAAGTGTTTCTTTAAAGTCACATATAACAGACATATGTGCAGTATTGTTTTGTAAAATCAAACCTACAGCAGCCTTAGAATTGTCCATGTTGTTATGTTTCAGGTCATTCATATGCAGTGTAACTTTGAAGCAGTGGAGGAGGGAGCAAAGTATCATGTAAGTCTCTGTTAAAACATTTATGGGTGGATTATTTGTTTGATTAATTTATGAAGTACTGTTTGAGTTCCTTTCAGTGGCTAACATCATGATAAAGTTCCCGCAGTTTGTTCCGCTCTTAACTGAGCAGATTTTAACGTTTGAGTAACCAGTGTTTTGTTGTCTCTTTTCTCTCCTTGAAGGTAACGTTACTGCTGAAACTGGAGGACAAACTGAACAGACATCTAAGCTGTGACATGTTACCTCGTAAGATCAGCTCTGTATATCACCACATGCACTTTTCTCACATTTGTAAAGTGAAGGCAGTTTAATGGGAAGAGGCTATACAAAACCAGTTAATTTGGAGTTAACACAGAAAACATATTTAACGATTAAGTAATATTTTAGATTGGAGATGTGGATATTTCCACAATACTTTACAGAATAGTTTGTGTTAACAGCACCCCTCTTGTGACCATGTCTGTATTTAGAAGCATGTCAGACAGAGAGAGTGAGGTTTCAGAGAGGAAGGGGCTTTAATGGTGTCACAAAATACAGAATGCAGGACTATTTTCGGCAGATGACCACTTGCGTGCAACGAAAGTTGAATTCTTCCTTTAAACATGGCTCTTAATAACATGTCTTCATTATATTATCTTAAGTGATCATATTTCTGTACAAAAGGTTATTTCTTCAAATCCAGAAGTCAGTCCATTTATTTTAGATCTCTGTCAACTGCTGCCAGTAATATAGGCAGTGTGATCTAATGCAGATACAGGCATACTTACGGAAGGCATCTATAATGCTGCAGACGTGTGGGGAATGTCAGGACTGCGAGAAGCTGTAGCTGACAGCTGTCAACCCCTCTGCACAGCTCTTCTCTGGCATTCATCTTCCTGTCTCTTACTGACTCACACCCACTCACACGCTGTGTCTCTCACGCTTCCATATGTCCAATCACTTGATGTTAACTCCACTTTCTCTCCCCTACAGCCTCTCAGGTCAAATGTCTCCTCTCGCACACTCACACCCTGATTCCAATGACCTGCATACTGTGATATCATTCCTGGCACGCCCATATCCACCAATCGGTCCCTTAAACACACTCTGTTCGCTTTGTTAACAGACCCTCTTGCTGATAAAGGGATATTCTGAAAAGGAGTCCTTATCATCACACCAGAGTTCAAAGTCAAACCATGCATAGCCAAAGGCTGACTCAGCCATGCAAGTTCCCCCCCTATTCATTTCCCTTGGTTTTATTAAAGTAGAATGAAGCATTCCATATGATTCCATATTTGGAGTTCTTTCTTACACCTGTAGCTGGGTTTAATTAGATCTTACGTACTAAAGGTATTTTGCTTTATCCCATCCTTAAAGACAGAAAGTTGGAGTTCCTACTTGTGATAGGTCAAAGGATGGAATGTGTGTTTAACGTCATGAAGCTGTGCGGCTGCATCGCAGCAAGCTTAGTTACATGACTGGGAAAAGGAATGGCTTCTTTTAGATGTTGTTTTCACCTGTAAGCATGTTTCTGAGGCATAGCTGATGCAAAATTGACCTTGAAATAATGAAACGACTAACTGTGCAGGTGTTGTGTGTTTCAGACGAGAGTGTGGAAAAGTTGGCCGGAGAGTTGGTGCAACTGGGCTTGATCAGCGAGGTGGGTTGATGTGTTTAATGGAGATTCACGCTGGCCGCATCTATGCTGACACTGTCGATCACCAGCTCGTGCACGCCATTGTTCAGGTACCTGTTTAAATGTGTCTTTATTCTGACAGGTGGACCAACTCAAAATATCATCTCTGCTCGAGGAAGCATTCAACCAAAGCTTCACCAGCAAGTCTCCTTAGAGGGTTGTTCCACGCTCCCTTAAGGTGCACAATAAAAGTCAATGTCTTTTGTTTTTTTTCATTGCGTCTTTATTTAAGAACTTTGGGTGGTCATGTGACTAAAGGAGTGGCGATTCCTTTCCATAAGGAAATAAAGCTCACAAAACCTTTAAATATAAAGCCAGAAAACTCCAAAGAAACCACCTGCTGTTACTTCTTTTCTTTCTTTTTTTTTTTTTTAAAGAGAGATCCATTCATGTATTTGTGGCAATATTTTAAACAAGTTATCAATCATGTAGGGTTCATTGGAATGGTTAGATCAGTTGTAGTAATGGTGTACCAGACACCTGGTCCCGGCAATAATAATTAGATTACAACTTTGTCCTCGAGTGTACTTTGTTTACATTTGGAATTGCCTCCTCTGCTTATGCCTTTTTAGAAAAGCTGGTTTAAAACCTCTTGGGGTGTTGTAGTTGTATATTAATGGCAGCATCTAAACCTCATCACAGTCAGAAAACGAACAGGACATAAGCCAGGAAACTCATTCCTCTAAATCTTTGTTTCACTTGCTTCTCATAATTTGGCTTGTTTGGTTCTGCCCTGTTATTCATTCCCAATGTTTTCATTAGTTTATTAGATAAAAATTAGCAATAGTTTGTAAAACTGGATTCAACTTCCACACTTTACTTTATTGTTCACAATATTCAGAAGATAGATGTATGTTTTATAGCATTTCGAAAAGGCATCTCAGTGTTTTTCTTTGCTAGGTTATTACTTGCTTATTATGAGGTACTGTGAACTCTGTCATTTAAATTCTGTTGTTTTTTGTTTGTTTTAGATTTGTCTTGCTTTATAAATAATGTATATGTTATAAAGATCTCTGATAATGTTTTATTATTTTATTCCATTTAAGATTTGCTGCTTGTTGAGTTCATACATGCTATTCTGCCATTAGAATGAATTCATGCGTTCCGTACATGTATTTGTTTACTGAGGTTGGCTGCCATATCATGCATGAAGTGGACGGCCTTTTCCATTTGTTAAATGTGTAACAGATGCTGCATTCCAAGTGTTTTCTTGACTTTTGTCTCCTGTGGTTTTACACAGTGACCACGTTGAGTCTGAGCCAACACAAATGACCTTTTTTTTTCTCTTTTCCCATTTACTGATTTGGCTGTTCAAACACTTTATAACAACATCTTCAATGAGACAGGTCTTGATGAGACCTAAATTAAGATCAGGGAGTTTATTGTGGCCTTTTGTCATATTCTGGCTCAGAACTGTGGACTACTGGTACGATTGCATCTGGAAGCTCATACAATTCAGGACCTTTGAAATGCAGGAATAGTCCACAAGAAATTTAAATAAAACAGCTTGTTTATAAAATGTCAACAATTCAGATGGTTGCATGTGATCTGCCATAAAAAAAATCCAACAATTGCAGTGATCTATCTCTGAGGTGTTATTTTAAATGTTTTCCAGCTACTGTTCCTCTCCATCTGACAGCTGTAGTCCATCTTTTTACACTGTTTGTTTTCAAATTGTCTGTATGTCTTGTAGACTGCTAAGATTGTATTTTCCCAAAGATGTGCTCAGTTCAGTCTGAGGAATGTAAGTGAGCCACCTCTGGCACAGAGAAGTGGTTTAAACGACCACTGTGACCACCAGAGCTTTGTAAGGATTCTGTGCACCCTCTCAGAGTATCTTTAGAATCCCTTTCCACCCCATTCATTTATTAATGGTAAAGAAACTGGTTATTAAATAGGTTCAAAGGTTTTGCTGCTTTTGCCTGTTACATGAGCTTTTTGTCATATTTGGGAACTCATGGCCTTTGTTTAATACCTGAATGTCAGTAAATGCGTGATTCTTTTCTGAGACTTGTCCTGACAAATGTCAAAACAAGAACGCTTGCAAATAAAACAGTCAATTCCTCCACTTAATTGTTTTGAAAGTTATTACAGACCCCAAAGAGAAAGTCTTCCACTTGAAGGGGCCAGCAGTTGCTGAAAAGACTGCTGCTGTCCATTTCTACGCGGAGAAACTGCAAACCGCATCCAGCGACCTGCAGGTGATCCACAGGTGAGCTGGTGACGTCATACAGGAAGGGGCAGAAGGGCGGCCGTGTGGGCAGGAGCTGGCGTTTCTTTGTTGAACGGTTTGCCCGGAAATATTGGACATACTTTTGGTCAGAAGATTTTTTATAAGTCTCGGTGGTGAGAGATGTGCGGCTTTGGTGAGTGTTTGAACGCGTCGCACAGATAATGAAATACTGAGCAAAGCCTCGTGTTCGTGAACAAAATGTCACGCGCTGCACGAGCGGTACCGACATAGGGCCTGCAAGCCCGTGAATTCAAACTGAAAACAAACTGGTTTAATGGTAAACCAAATATTTGATTATTTCTGTGACGGTGGAGTGTGCAGTCAGTTCAGTAAATGTTCAACACAACCAGACTGCACTGCTAATTTAAAAACCTGTAGCTGATACTACAGTTGAAATACTTTCAAAATAAACTAGTTGGCGTCTGGAGAGACTCAGAGTTAATGAAGGTCAGGTTTTCATTCGACGTTGTTCAGTATTTCTGTTTATATGATATTACCCTTACTATTTATTTTCATCAGGTTGAATTTCCAGAACAGATGTAGCTAAAGTAAGACAGTCTAGTAGTATGGTTGTAAAAAATTTAACAAATGGCATATGCAGCAGATTTCACTGCCCGTCATTAGGCTCTGCTGCATGTGGATCATTTGTGCTGTGTCAGTTAATAGAAACTGTGCTGTTTTTACCGTTTGTCCAGCAGAGAGCACTAATAAGCTTACTAGATAAATCAACTTATTGTGAATCTGACCTAACATTATGACTTGTTTTTCTGCCTTCCAGATAAGGAACAGGGGCCTGGGAGGCTGATGAAAAAGGGCCTAACGCTCATCCTGGTTGGCCATGTTAACTTCATTCTTGGAGCTATTGTTCATGGAAGTGTTCTCCGACACATTTCCAAACCTAACCAGCATATTAGCGCAGAATACACTGTAGCCAACATCATCTCTGTGACCTCTGGTCTGCTGGTGAGTTGCGTCTTCAGGATTTATTTTCTTTCTAAATTCGACCCAGTTGTTGGAATATGTAAAATGTGCACATTTAAAGAGCAACCATGACAAACCTCAAACTATTTGACCTAGAAAGTGTTCTTTTATGACTCAGACTGATCCCATGCGTCCATCGCATCTTTTCGGTTCTGTGCATCAGTTCTAGTGTTCAAGTGTACATTCAGGTCTCATTGTGCTCCTTTAGCACAGTAAAAGCATGTTTTTCTTTACAATCAAGCCTGAACTTGCCTGTCATATGGGGAACAGGCTCTTCAAACCAATCGGTAATTCCTCTGGGGTTGGCCCTCTTAAATCCATCTATCATATGAACTGACACTTGTCAGTGAGGGAATGGTGATAATTTCCCCATTTCTTTGAAATGGCCTCCTATCATTACAAGGGGGGTTTGAAAGAAAATAAGTAACGCAGGAGATTATAAGATATACTTGCCTGTCAGTTTGTCATGGAAGGGTGCACTGGTACGGGAGTCGCTTCAGACAGGCATCCAGTTTAAACATTGGGTCTGATACTGGGACCAGCCTTACTGCTCACTGAACATAAATTCAATCCACAAATCAATCGGTATTAATTTGTGTAGCACTTTTCATACAACATATTTTACATAATAGACACCAGGGAGATAATAAGACAGCCACACCACCCCATCCACCCATGTTTCCAGCCAGATCCCCAAGCCCACAAACACACATATCGAAACTAAACTCCTGCTGTCAGTATTTGGCAAAGAAAATTAATGAACAATATCAAACACTGAAAGAAAAAGATCTTTCTTTGTGTATAATCTCCTTGTGGGGTAATGAATAATTTTTCCTATACTTTAGTGAATTAATAAGTACTACTTTGTTCTGATCTCAGTTTTCATCTCACCATTTCACCCTCACAGAGCATTGCCTCTGGCATCATCGCGATTGTTGTATCAAGAAACCTTCATGACTTAAAACTGGTAAGAATTTGACCCTTCCTCCCCCCGATTGTTTGTGTCCTTGGTGCATGATGTGGCCTCTCTGTCTTCAGCAAATAGGTCTGTTGATTTCCTCCTTCCTGAACGCGCTGCTCTCGGCGGCGTGCAGCATTGGCCTCCTGTTGGCCATCAGTGTCACTGTGGCTAACGATGGGAGATTTTTGATGTTTGGATGCAACGACACAGTGGTGCCCGTCAACGCCCGCTCGCCAATCAATCCCCAGTGTTCATTTGATACCACACGACTATACGTGAGTATATTCACTTTTTAGCTTTTTCCTTCAGTTTATTCGAACAGGTGGTACATTTTCAGGTGTAAATGAAATGTTTAGAGGAGAAATATTGAAACCCAGTGATGTAGCTTTATTTCTCTCCTGCCGTGTCTCAGGACACCACCCTGGCTCTGTGGATCCCCTGCGCTGTGCTGTCAGCAGCTGAGGCTGGACTGTCCGTGTGGTGCTTCATTGTGGCGCTGGCTCTCAGAGGGCTGGCCCCCTGTGGGAACAGCTACATCAAAGAGCAGGTGTGTGTCTTTGTGTGGGGTAGGTGGATGTGCTCTGAGGGGTGGAACTGGTGTGTGTCTGTCTGACTCAGACACACACAGGTTTGGTTTAATCAAACAAAACTCATTCAGTCTTGGGACATTCCATGAAACGTCAAACAGGGGGTTCCCACCTTAAATCTTTGATTTTTATCTTTTTCTTTTTTTCTCCTTTCCTGTTGAAAGTTTTATATGAGCACAGGAGAATATTTTACTCAAATTACAGTTGATGAATAGGGATGTGTTTTTCTTTCTAATTATATTTTTCTTAAATCACATAGAGGTTTTAAAGTTTCAGTCATGTTTTTAACCTCTCCTTTTTGGAGTGTGTGAAGTTGTAACGGTATATGTATTTTTGTAAAAGATTCTGACAGATTTGAGACAGATGTTTTTTCTTAATACAAAAGAAAAATATAGATACTTCTCATCATTTTTATTATATTTTTAAATCCTCTTTAAAGTATTTGTTGTATTTCACATCAAATATTATCTTTTGTTAAAAAAATTATGGTTTTTTTTTTTTCGTTTGGATGGAATTTGGCTAAAATGAATTTGAAAATACAACTCCTACATAAGTGAGGAATTACTGGGGGAAATTTTGATATTGACATTTTTCCTTCATTTTCCTTCTTGGAACTAGTAAGAAAATTGTGCAGAATTGTGGTACTACAAAGGAAACATTTTCCATGATCAACACATTTTATTTGAATTTATTTTAAATTACGCTACCTTTTTCACATTTTGTTTTGTGAAATATCTCATCAAAGGTGAATTATCTTTGTTACAATACCTTAAAAACCATTTAGTTTAAAGACCAAATATGGCACTAAAATTGAAAAGTTGTAGCAATTCCTTACTGAAACAATAATTATTAGGAACAATTATTTTTTTGATAAGTGGATTTTTAGAATTTAGAATTTACAATTGTACTAGTTTTTACAGTGTGTGTTTATTTGTATTTGGGTGCTTATCTGTCATACAATCCCTGTTGCTAACTCAGACCAAAATGGATCAGAATCAACTCATCACTTTTCATTTGTTTTTTTTCTTTCTGTCTTTTAGCTAAAGGAAGAGGCTGAGTTTTCTCCTCACAGCCGCCGCCTGATTGAACAGCATTTCAATCCTGAAGCATAAAGAATTGCTGCTAAATCCAAAAATACTTGAGCATATTTTTTGTGTACAGATGGATAACTTTCCCTGTGGTCAGTGAGGTTAGTGCTACTTCAGTAAATCGGCACACTCTTAGTTTGATGTTGTTGTGGCACTATAATACCACTGTTTGTAGGACATTTAGTTTGATTCAAGGTATTTTTACGTAGCATCAAAATCAATGACCACAAAAGAGAAAAAACGTTTTTACAGTCCATCCATTCCAAACTTTTTTGTGCCACTATAAAGACAAATGTGTAAATATGTGCCTGAATGTAACAGTGATATCTCAGATATCCTTTCAGTCATCTGATTTTTCACTTTATGCATTTAGTATTATTTTACTCTTTATGGTAAGCATAATTTTTTAAATGAAGAAATAGTTGTTAATGAAGAGATTTTTTTACTACTTATTATGGATTGAAGCAATTTTATATAGGTCCTCACTTCAGCTGAAGCTACAATGTTTGCTGTGTGTACCCATTTTTAACCACTCCATCGTGCCTGAGTTTTTCTAAATTCACCTTTGATGCCCAAAAATGATATGGGGAGAAATGTCCCATTTTACAGTTCTGTAATTTTCTGTATGGTACCCAGTTGAATTGTATACATTCATACCAAGATTTTTATTTTTTGATTGAGTGTTTAGCTAGAAACTTAATCAGATATGCTGCACAGTAGTGCTTAAAGATGCAGGTCAGATAACTTTTGGTATGTGCATTCATGAAGACTGCATGACTGCAGTGATGTGTTCATTATTTTCCTTTGCAGCTTGCTGCTGCTGGCAAGCTATTGGTCTGCTGAACTTTCTCAGATACAACTTTCCTTTAATGCTTTAGGAACAATTTTCATCTAAATTTTTAGCATTGGATTTGTGTAACAATGTGTTGAATTTTTGGAAATGTTCTTCAGAGAAAAAAATGGGTCTAGTAAGTGAAATAAACTGAAGTATGATTCTTGAGCTATATCTCTCATTTATATTTTGATTGATTGATTTGGTTAGGCAACTATAGTAATAAATTATTCACATTAACACAACATGAAAGCTGAGGTAAAATATTATATTATGCTTTTTCTGAACTTTCCAAATTAGAAAAAATGTGAATCACAGCATAACTGTATGGTGTGCAGTTGTGCATGTGCAATGCTCTAACTTAAAGTTAAGTGGGGTCACATTAAGAGGTTAAAACCAGTATGTGGGCCAGCAGTCTCAGCTGTCACTGTCAGGAGACCCCCCACAACTCCATGACACACAATCGGATCAGCCATGAAACGATTAATCTGGTGTCGTGCTCAATCATTTGTAAGAAACCCATAGTACACAGTACTAATCCTGAGGCTGCAGGGATAAATATTGACATATTAGTGATACCGTCAAAACCTTAAAATGCCACACTGCACAACAAACGCTTGTTTGAAATCTAAAGATTAATAAAATATTGAGTGCACGTCTACTTGTTAGTTACAATTATGAAGATTTTTTTTCCATTGACGCGCATGCACGCTCATTTAGCTGCGTATCCTCTGCCCATGTACGAGATTTATCTAGAATCTTGTCCATGTGGATATCCGCCAATATGCATGTAAAAAATGCACAGCAATTTGTCGAAACAGCAGGGGAAAAACACAGCATGCTTTTGGTTTTTTACGAGTCCTTTTACTGTAAAAAAAAATCATTTCTCGTAGATCATTTTAGCTGCAAATCCAACACGCCCACATTGAGGAGTCAGTGTGCGCGGTCCCGGGGATTCCGCGGCCCCGATGAGTCGGCTGCACGCCACCACCAGCTGCTGAGTATGACCGCGCCACTGCGGAGAACGGAGCCCCGGAGCGTCCGGACGGCGTTCACGCAAGGTACATATTCGCAACCTCCGGTGTTCTTATCATTTCTTTCAGTACCGTAGATAAGGCGGGCAGACTTGGACGGTAGACTGACAGAATCCCCGCCGGAACAGCCCGCCGCAGCTGTCTTCACGAGACTGTGGTGACAAACAGATTGATAGTCGGTGTTTCTTCGGCGTCACCGCGTGTTACTCCGCTGAACGTTCAAGATGTCTCAGCGAAATGGACCTCTTTTAAAGGTCTGTGCAACTGTTTCTTCCTTCGAGCCAAGGCAGAGCTAACGCACAGGGTTGTGCATCGAGGGTAACGTTACGCAGGTGTTGATTCAAATGAGAAATTGATTGAATATTGTCAACACTCGCGGGAAGATTTGTTAGCGCGCGCGTATACGTCAAATGCGAGCTGTTATCAGTTAAAGGTTAGATAAATGGGTGTTGCCATATTTTAGTATTTTCCCGAAGTTTTTTTTGGTTTTGTTTTTTTGCATTTATCCGCATATAAACACCCCGAGTGGCTGAGTGTGAAACGTCGCGGGGGAACGTTACTGTTGCCTGGTCAACCTCACACAAACACGAGAGTGGGGGAGAGTTGGACCATCGTCCGCAGGTGTAGCGAATAACCGTCTGTAGCAGACTTGGTTTGCTTTGAACGCTGCTTTCAGTGCTGTGCAACATGACCCCTCCAACTCAGCGCTCCTGCACGAAGACAAAGCAAAACAAATATCCTAAAGAGAGTTAACGCGCCCTCTCTCAGATAAAAAAAGAAAAAAGTGTTTTCACCTATTATCTTTAAGATGTTTTCAGCTTTAGTTCTGCTTGTGGAAAGTAGGGTGTGGCTGAGACAACACCAGATACAGTAATCGTGAAATACATTCACTCTGCTTTTTACTCTATAAAAAAAACAACCTTTTAAGCCTGTCTTTGTGTTTTAAACCGGCAGGACCTGTTTGATGGATCTGGTCCAGGGTGCCAGTTTTCGATGCCAGAGATTGGATTTTGCTTTGCAGAAGAATCAGCCCAAATTGTCGGATGGTTATGACGCAAAACAGGATTCACAAATTTGAGGTATCTTTGGAAATACAGTTGGGATTGATAAACCAATAGTGGGCGAGGAAGAAGGACAGTAACCCACAGAGGACTTCTAACAGATGGCTGATGATGGGGCTATTATCTCAGCTTTGCTCCCTGCTTAGGGATGGATCTAGCAGAAGCTTCCGTTGACCGGCATTGCACCAGGAGCTGGAGATACTCCCTGTAATGTTCTTTGGATGAGAACCTATTCGATCACAGCGTATAATCACTCATTACAGGACTGCATATGAGGAGGAACTGCTTGAGTGTCTGGAAAGACTGAAGACTGACACAAAGAAAAGGTCTGTTCAGGGTGCACATAAGAATTGGGGCTGCTCATGTGCTGCGTTTGCCACTGACAAAGAAATGGACTCATTTGCTTCTTATGTTGTAAAGCGATAGGGTCTCTATATGATGATAAATCATCGGTTTGAGACTCAGTGAAAATATGCCGAACATCAAAATGCAGACACCTATGGAAGGAGGATGTGTCCGAGGCAGGTTTTCAGAAACCATGGCAGTCGGCCACAGACAAACTGGTCCTGTCTGCTGTTTATTCGTCCTTCTTCTCCTGCTGCTCCTCTTCTCCCTGGTTACACCGGCTCTGTCCATCCACATGGAGTTTATAGAGAACCACAGCGAGTTTAGCTGTGAGCCCATCAGACTGAGAATGTGCCAGGATCTGCCTTACAACACCACCTTCATGCCCAATCTGCTAAATCACTACGACCAGCAAACTGCGGCGCTCTCCATGGAGGTAGGTTTGTGCGTTTAAATGGATGCACCCGTTTTTAATAATACTTCATGATTTTATTTGCATTGCACTGATATTTATGTATGGAGGGTTATTTAGGAAGAAAACTCCTCCCTCATTGCAAATATAAGTGTCTCGGTGACAAGGTGAAGAAATGGTAATGAGGTACAAAGCAGCAGCCTGCAGGGCTTCCTCTCATGTTGTGCCCCTGCCGAGGAAAAAAGGATTTCACATGTAGCTCTAACAGATTTGGTCAGGGTAGCACAGATAGGACTGTATTGCCATAAAAAATATTCTTAATTAAGGTTGAAAACATTACACAGCTGTTAGTGTAGCCTGAAATGATTAGCCTTAGGCGTAATATATTCATCTGTCCATCAACTTTCTGCTGTTTTTTCAGTCAAAATAGCACCTTTATATGCCTTTCTTGGATAATTTATTTCCATGATCACAACATTCATACATATGGAAGGTTTAATAAACAATAAAAAAGGAGGTAAAGGTTCTCAATCAGCAAGTTCCATGCAAATGAGCTGTACCTTTTTAGCATCAGTGTACACAGAGATGGTTTGCTCAGAAACAATGGAGGGACCGTGTTTTACCCCCAGAGACGCGGCTAGCTTTCTGCAAACGTTGCCTCAAAAATCTAAATCTTTAAGCTGCAGGACACACAAAGCCGAAGGCCTGGAATGTCAAGGAGCTAACAGGAGCAGGAAAGCAGACGTGAAAGGGTTCTACTCGATCCGTCTTCCTCACATTACAGATCCATCTTCTTGCAACTTGTCAGTGCTCCATGAAGACACAGATTAATGTGTCTGTGCTCACCCCGTCCCTCCTCACTGCTGAGCTTTTTTTAAAATGAGTAGTGGCTGACAGACACAAGGTGCTATGTGATCAGGAGCAAAAGGAGAAAAATTTATTTTTATGTGATTGACAGGCCCAGAGAAGTGTGTCATTGTGTAAGGGCATTGGTTTGAAGCAATAGAGAATAAGAAGTGCTGTGTTACACACTGAGTGCAATAGTAGGCACACACTATCCATCTTTATCATGTTACCTCTCTTTCCTACTTCTTTGTTACTCTTCAGAGAGCATGAAAGAGCACAGAATGAGGTGTTGCTTGGTAACTGCGCTGTAATTAGTTGTCTGCAGTAAGTTTTTGTTAAGTAGTGTATGAAAGCGTGTTGGGACTTTTTTTGTTTTCCGTGCAGTAATTTTTTCTTTCTTTTTTTTTTCCATCAATCATATTTAATTCCAAGAAAACAGAACAACGCACAAAGTCTTAACAGGCAGCCAGGAGAAATTCAGTCATAGTAACTTAAATCATGACAATCTTTTGTCTGGTTTGTTTTTTTTCATCTGATGACACGTTTGAAGGCCCGAGAGCCACTGCAAGTGCTAACGGCGTGGATTAACTCATGTTTTGGCTACCACGCAACTGTGGTTGGTTTGAACAACGCAGGCATGTAACAAATACTGTCAGTCGAATTAAATCTGCCTTCAGCTGTTCATAGTTGGTGTATTAAATTACCACTGTTGAAAAGCAGATGAATTTGGACAAGGCCAGTGTTGGCTGAATTTCGTAGCATGTTTAATCCTAGGGGATTTTTTTATTTAATTAATTAATTTTATTAGCTTTGTGTAGTAAGTATATTCCCTTGTTCAAACCCACATGAATCTCACCCAAGCTCACACAGTTGTGTGGTGGTTAGCACCATTGCCCCTAGTTCCCCCGGATTCAAGTCCCCGGGGGAACCAGGACCGACCTTTCTGTGTGGAGTTTGCATGTTCTTCCTGTGTCTGTGTGGGTTCTCTCCGGGTTCTCAGGCTTCCTCCCACTGTAAAAAAACCTGCGGTTTAGGTCGATTGGACAGTCCAAATTGCCTTTGAGAGTAAGTCTGCATAGTTGTTTGTCTTTGGGTGTCTCTTTGTGGCCCTGCGATGGACTGGCGTCCAGGGTGTACCCCGCCGCTCGTCCATTGACTACTGATATAGGCTCCAGTCCCCCCATGACCCCATTTGGGAATAAGCAGTTCAGAAAATGGATGGATGGATGGATGAATGAATATCACCCAAATGATCAAGCCACAATTTGGTTTTCAATCTCAGAAGAGGATTTTTTTAAATGCTAGTTTTAGAGTGTGCAGCAGAGCACACACGGTCTGACTGTGCTCTGCTGCACACTGATGCACGCCATTCACCTTTGGATTAGGAAATGCATGGTTTTTGTTCGGACTTTGAGTTTTAAATGTTTAACTGTTATAGCATGCACAGTGCATGAAGAGCCGTGCAAATGT